AAAAACTCGATAACTTAGATTTTATTTTGCTTACATGTGCTTTCCAGTTAATAATTATGTCTTTGACTATACCTTATAAACTTTGATACCTTTTAGTAATGTTGCAAAAAATCTCGGATTTTATGTCGACTCAAATTTCAAATGGCAGGATCAGGTTGGTAGAGTCTGTCAAAAGGTAACTGGTACATTGCGTGCCGCAATCTCTCTACCGCTTGAAAAATTGTTTGCCGATTAACATCAAGGCAATGCTTGTGCAAACTTTGATTTTTCCCATAATCGACTATGGTGATGTGTGCTACCTCGATCTGAATGCAGATCTACTCAATAAACTTGATCGACTTCAGAATAACTGCATTCGCTTTGTTTTCAATCTTAGAAAATATGACCATGTGTCCGCATACCGATCTCTTCTAAAATGGATGCCTATTAGGCAGCGCAGAAGTATGCGGGCTCTGACCACTCTGTTCTCCTTGCTGGAATCTCCAAATGCTTCTTTCTATCTCACTTCCCAATTTCAGTACTTATGTACCTCTCATGCTAAAAATCTTCGATCTTCTTCTAATCGCTTACTTATTGTTCCACCGCATCGCTCTAATATGATTCACTCGTCCTTCTTCGTCAAAACTATACTCCTGTGGAACGAACTCCCCTAATTATTAGAATATCCACCAACAAAATTAGCTTCAAAACCAAGCTACGAAGCTTTTTATAGGAACCAGCAGTCTAGCTTAAACGTTAGTCGTCATTATTATGTATTAGTATGTATATTTATATGTGTATGTATGTATATGTAAGTAATTATTTATGTATGTAATTATATATATGACTGCTTCATATTTATATATGTTCTTCTTTCTGTAATTTCCATGTAAGTTGTGCACCCTATCACTATTTATCTACAACACCCTATGGTTGACTGGTAGAGAATGCCTATGGCATTAAGTCCGCCTTTGTACACTTGTGCATTAAGTATAAATAAATAAAATAAAATAAATAGTAAAGAAAATCCTTAACACAATCTAAAGTTTTGCCCATGTAATTTACTGACAATTTTAATTCTTTCTTTTGATGCGGGTGGAAGGTCATTATTTTTGTTTTTGCTATATTTATTTTAAGGTTATGGTCACTTAACCAGTCAGAAGTTTTAGCAAGGATCGCGTCCAGTTTTTTGTTAATGTCGGTATTATCTTCTCAAGAAGTTAGTATGGATATATCATCTGCAAATAATACACATGGCCAAGGGCGGATCCAAAGGGGGGGTTATGGGGGTCATGACCCCCCCTGGGCTGGGTCCATCTGGACCCACTTCACAATCTGTACCCACTGTGACTTGACCACGACTATATGACCCCCCCCTGGCGCCAAAGCTGGATCCGCCCTTGCACATGGCTCCACAATAATTTCAGGAAAGTCGTTTATATAAATTAAGAACAATAAACATTAAACTAATTTAACAAAATCTGAAAAGAATTTAATTGCGAAAATTCGATTTATCAAATCAAATCATCCTATGACATTTCCAAATAAGTTTAACTGAAAATATATAGGATTTTCGCGAAAACGAGAGTCGCCTCGGTAAGATTGTTTTGTGTTTCTAACTCCTGATTTCACATCATGGAGCAACATGGTTCACACAAAGTAAGGCTGGGAGTAGTAAGTAGAAGGAACTTTAAAGAACATCATTGGAAGTTTCAAAAATGATGGGTATGGCTGCGCTAAGCTCACACTTACCGGATATTGGCGGAAGAGGCCGAGTTTTTGCCGCCAATAATATATGAATGTTGTGCACTCCATGGTTCTATACGGAGTCCAAACATAGGCAGAATCTCTAAGACCCAATACAGTCCTACTTCACAACCTTTATTCTCATTTGTTCGATTCATTAGTTCGATCGTCGAACTAGTGAGATTTTTTTATCTCATTAGTTCGATCGTCGAACTACTTTTATTGTTTTTTTATTTCTTCAAGGCGATGCATACCTTCAGTCAATCTATCCCAAGGATATACAATATCTGGAATGCTGACCTGACCCTCAAACGCGATCCGAAGAGTAAACCTCAATTAGTGGAAGCTGTCTCTTTCTAGTAGTGTGTCCAAACAGTAACATAAGTGATGAGATAATTCTTTTTCTCTGAATAAAGTGACCTTCTAATTTTCAATTCAATATCCTTAGCTTAAAGTCCAAAAAAGTAATAAAATCTTTAAACGACCTTCCGAGCTTATTAATAAACATTTATAAAATCACTATTTTGAAAAAAATACCAGGAGATCATACATAACTAAGAGGTTCTGGTAAGGAAAATGGATAAATAAAGAAATTAATTTCGACGACGGTCGGACAAATGAGAACAATAAAATCTCAGTAGTTCGACGATCGAACTAATGAGAAAAAAATCTCACTAGTTCGACGATCGAATTAATGAATCGAACAAATGAGAATAAAGGCTTCACAAAGCACATAGTGCCATGGCGCTGTAAGGGTATAAGGGTCGGAGTATCATACCATCTCCTACTCGGTAGCCTGTGCTTTAGCTGGATCCATACCTTGAGGCTTGGGTGCTGAGGTACTACTAGCGTCTGTATACTGGCGGAAAATACAAGCGAGACAGCAGGACCAAAGACCGACAATCGAGGAGGTGGTTCGATGGCGTCACGTCGCCCAAAAAAAGGCGATAGCAACTTGGAGAGAGACCACAACAACCCGCAGCTATTCCAAGTAGATTTGCAAATACTAAACTACTCAAAACAAAAAAAAGGGCCCACCGCGTTTTCCAGCTATAATTTATTTTTCCTTTAACTTAAGTATATTTTTTTAATTGAGGTGTTTATAATTGGCGTTTGGAAATTGTGTAAACATAAACAACAGTGAAAATTAAAAGTTTTATGTGAATTACACAGTAATAACAGTTTTTAAGAAAATTAACACAAATTAACTAAGGAAGTAAAGTTTGAATATTAAGAATATTTTCACACAAATTTATGAAAATTGTCTCTTTTAGTAGCGAGTAGGACCTCCTCTGGTCCGTATGCACTCCCTTAGTCTATCTGGAACGCTTTCGATTAAATGGATCACGTTTTCAGTCGGTATTTGCTCCCAACAGACTTTAAGGCCGTTTATGAGGTCTTGTCGGCTATTTACATGACTGAAATTTGACTTAAGGCTTCTTTTTAAATGATCCCATAAATGTTCAATAGGATTGAGGTCGGGACTCATGGCTGGCCACGGTAGTACCGTAATATTGGCTTCTGAAAGTGCTCTCTTAGTGATACGAGCCGTATGCGCGTGGGCATTATCTTGCATGAAGACGAAGTTTTCACAGATTCTTTGCCTAAATAGGATGACATGAGGTTGGATTACACGCTCGATGTAACTGGCAGTAGTAACGGTGCCTTCTTCCAGAAATACAACTTCAGTTTTGCCCATTAAACTAATTCCACCCCACACCATTAGACTTTGACCACCGAAACAATCTGTTCCGTGAATGCAGGCTTCTGAAAAACGTTCGCCTTCTTTTCTCCACACGCGGACTCGACGATCGTCACTAAAAGACTTCACTTTAGACTCGTCTGTAAACAGTACTGTCCTCCAGTTGTCCATGGTCCAATTTAAGTGTTCGCGAGCAAATCTTAACCGTGCTGCACGTTGTGCCCTTGTCAACTTGAGCCGGATTACTCGCATTCTGGATCGTTGGCCATCCTCATGAAGTCTATTCCGAATGGTTTGATCACTTACTCGAGTGCCAGTAGATTGGCGTAAACGATTTTGTAAAGTCTGAGCGGTTATTGTACGCTCTCGACGTGCAGTCAATCGGATATAACGGTCTTCCTGGTCGGTGGTAGCTCGAGTTCTTCCTGTTCCTGCTCCCCTAGCAACACTACCAGTCTCTTGGTAGCGTTCCCACAGGTTACGGATAGCGCGTCGTGACACCACCAACTCGTATTGCCACTGATCTCTGTGAATGTCCTTCCTGAAGCATAGCCACTGCTCTTGAAGCTGTTTCCATATCCATATGACGGCGAGAACCAGGCATAATGATCGCAAATAACGTAGAAAATAAAACAACAAGGTGCAACAGGAACAGAGACTGAGACTGAGAACAAAAGTGATTAGGAATTTTAAAATTGGACGATTATTAGGGCACTTCACTTTTTTGTTTGCTCATTAAGAGTAACATTTAACTTGTCGCTTGAAACATTAATAAAGATTCGTAAACATGTCAATAATAAGTTATAATGCTTCAACTCGCCAATAATTACCCTATATATTTTTTTAGACATTAAACGGGATTATTTTTTGGTGGGCCCTATTTTGTTTTTAGTACTTAGTTAATAAAAAATTCAAAATTACTGGGAATCAACACGCGTTCCCGCACTCTGCCTGTTATTTTATACCTAGCCTCGTAACTCAAGCAAGCATACAGCATCGGTCGGTAGCACATCCGCCTTTACAAATTTAGGCCAATTTGCTATAAATTCAGCTGACCTCATCAATTAATTTACCTTATCGGTAGTAATACGCTAATAAGACAGAATTAGTATTGCAGTCCGAAAACAAAACTTACTGTTAATTTGATTGAAGGTACAACTAGAAAATTGTGTAACTTTCAAACAAGAATATCTTGTTCGCAATTATTAGTTTCTATGATACGTACGTACGTGTTACCATATTTTTCAAAACGATTCGACCGGGAAGCGAACCTTGGATCTCTGTAATAAGTTGTCGATGGCAAACTTATAATTTGAAACTGAATTGGAAACTATCTCCGTAAAAATGCAAAATTTGAAAACGAAAGTTTATGTTGTTGTGTAAAATACGTAAATTATTGTATTTAAATAATAAGATTAGTCTAGTAATATTTGTAGGTAGTGCAGTTTCTACATTTCAGCTTTATTTTTTACAAAGACATTATTAATACCTGTATTATAATAATTAGTGGAAAAATATTAATTTTCTTCCATACTCGTATGGATGACTGGGGGCATGCATGGATGGACACAAACAGGCATACTATTTATCACAATTACAAGTCTAGAATACTACTGCAAAAAGAACTGAGAACAGGTGAAAAAACAAAAATTAAACGACTTACCAGCTGCTGATCCAAATACAAGTACTTATTTTTCCTTTTAAACCACTGTAACCATTTCATATCGATTATAGAAAATACAATTTTATAAACTATAACCACTAAAATTGCAATTGTTATAAACAGTACTAACTCAGTAAAAGTGTGCTTCAAAATAAAGTCATCTTCGAAGGAATATTCATCTGAATATTTCATAATTTGGCCGCTGGTTTAAACCTATTTCTATTGAAAAATATGACGAGCGATGCATCTCACTGCCTGTATGGAGTTCAACATTACGAATGAATGAACACTTCACCTCCCGTAGCTAAATTACTCCTGAGAGCTGCTAATTTTAATTAGTGCGTGTGAAATGAATAACATCAAGTATCGAAATATTCTAAAATAGAACAACGACTGATTTCAATTTTGTAAAATGGTTTAGACTTAATTAGAAATGAAACACTTTTCCTTTAGATATTAATATATTTTCGAATCTAAAATGTACAAAAAAATACAACTTAATGTAATGTACTCATAACGCCTGATTTATCAACAAATGAGACATATTATTGATGATTGGGAGAAAACAGTACTGTATTTCGGTTCCAATAATTGACAAATACAAGTAGTGGATAATTATAAGAATAAGCTTCTAGGAACAAAAGGAGCCTAAGCCGCAGTCAACAATGCTGTTCATTTATACTATTTTTATTCTCAATTTTTTGTCACGTGTCGTTATATTTTTATTACCAAAATAATAAATTCGTATTTTATTTTAGGGCGGTTGTGTAAAAGGCTTCCACAAGATATTGTTTCACAGTTCGTCTGTATCATTTCTAAAATAAACGTAACGACCTATATTATATTTATTATTTAATCAACCATCACTTTATAACAACTTTGGTTGTGTAATCTAGTCGTAAAAATATATGTATTTTAGCTATTTACAGTATATAAACATACATACATACAATGCGTAGAAATGCACAGCAACACAAAAGGCCTTAACTAACATCTGACAACTAAATAACACAGATTTATCAGACACTCGTCGAAAAGATAGAGCGTTAATATAAGACTAGCTCAAACACTCCAGCCTGCTGTCATCGCCGCTGCTGTTGACTGGACGATCGGTACACAATGAGAATACTATGTCTATTCAAAAATCATTATTTGTTATATCTGCTGTAACTCTCCGACAAGTGTCTAACTTCTAAAATCACTTTGCAATGTTTTGGTAAAACATAATTAGTTTGTTTATCAAGAATAGAATGTTAAACCTAAGAAATGTACAAAATATAAAAATACCCTTGATCACAGACGACAGGCCAAGACGAGAGGCACGATTTTATACAAAAAATAAAATCATCTTTGTACGGGATATACCTCAGTGTGTTAGCGACTGTCATCTCACTACAAATAAATATTTATCACACAATCTTACATATATATATTTCTGTTTTAATCTTTAATTGGAAAATATAAAATGTCTATAATAAAAATAAAAACTGAATTATCTGAAACTAATTATGCTTTCTCCCTTCGAAACAAAGATTCCCGTACACATCCATGTTTCTAGTTACATAAGCCAAGTGAATTATTAGTCCATTGCCACAGAGTGAATTGTCATGATATAAAAATATTTCTATTATATCGACTTATCACATTTTAATATACAGTCCAATTTTATTTTTCTGCAACATTTGGATGGAAAGTTTGGACCCTATTAATTGAATTATTTAATTAGGTTAACTTACTCTGTAGCATTGGCCTAATTAATCCTTAATTTTAGATCATTATAATCAATGTTCTTACATAGAATTCCATTTATACATAACATTTCAATATAGACCAATTTCTCCAGAATTGTTATATAATTAGTAAGTATGTAGTGTAAAATCTAAATCATGCCCTTAATTATATTTTTCGACATTACCATTAATAACTCGCAACATGTCAATATTTATTCATAAAATGGAAATTTTAAATGAATGACTTCGTATAATAAGTAAGCTATTGTATCATTATTCATTAGGTATGAGGAGACAATATTAAAAAAATGCTTACCAGCACTGATTCGTATTATTTCAATTTTGTACAATTTATTTTTGAACTGTTAATATTATATTTGCAAAATTTGGTATAAATTCTATATACCTCCACTCACTATAATATTTTAGATATATTATGTATTTGCAATATCTATTTTAAAAAGTCTAAAAATGAGTTTATTTCTTGCTTTATCAAAATATTTGTGTATTAGGAATATCACTTCGTTGGTGTTTATGATTACAAACAGGGGGTCAATTGCCTAAAGGAATTGCTATGGCTATTCTATCGCTTACTGTTTCATTTTGTTATTTCTGACCACTGAAAGTTTTCAAATACCTCACGCTCATTTTCTTTATTACCAATGTTGTTATTACCAATGCAAAAGAAAAAAGACGAACGCGAAGCATTTGAAAATCTTCGGCGGTCAGAAATAACAAAATGAAATCGTAAGCGATAGCGATAGTCGTTGCAATCCTGTTAGGCGATTGGCCCCCAGATCTGATTGATGATCATATATTATGTCTTTAATCTAATCGTAAAACGAGTTTATCATAAGGATTATTGTTATACTTGCCTTTGTATATTCATTAATCGGCTCTTCCTTGGAAGACGTTTATTTTAACCAATGTTGTATGATTTGAACAAGACGCGTTTTTGTTTTAAGATTTTGTAGCAATTTATCCGTAACCGTCAGTCGATTATTTATTTACTAGTAATCATTTTAAATCCAAGTGAGTTACGTTGCCCAATCGTTTTATTCATTGCCCCACTGATAGCATTCTTACCTATTGTCACGATAATTTTCGATCCAAATATGAATTATTACAATTTAATTATACTATATCTCTTAGAACGTTATTAATACAATATGCAATTTAATAGAATTTAGTATGCGTTTGCAGACTTATGACATAACGATTCTAATTTATGAATGTGTTTTAGTATTTTTATTAATATCAATTTTATTATATCGAATGTGAATTTGAAAAATATCTCATCTATAATTTCAGGCACCTATTCATCAAAGACTCACTTACGTTTTATTAATAATGAAAAACCATTTTTTTATACATGCAATGGACGTGTTTACAAACACCATAATTATTTATTTATTGTTATTAGATAGTCTACTTCTGTCCTCGTAAATCTGTAAAAAATATAACCATATTCTGTGTAATAATAATTAATCGATGAGAATAATGAAACTTTGAAGTGATGGCATTAACCTTTTCGCCGCGGTCACAAAGTATTTTTCTTTTTCGCCTTTGGTATTAGGGAATATTTCCATCGTGTATTTTATAGGAGCCCACAGCACAGCCTTCGATACAAAGTTGCCGCAGAAAAAGGAATGCTACTTCACTTGTGCATCATTGTTATGTTAATTCATATTGTAGGGAGACGCGACTATATGTCTATTCAACTATTTGCATCACGTTCAAGGCCATCACTTGTACTTTGCTTATTCGATAATCCCTATCGGCCGATATTTTCCGTACTGGCCACCGTAACAAAAAAAATGGAATGAAAATTGAAGTAATATTGCTACTGTTTGGGACGATAGATAAAGCTAATTCTCACTAGGCATGTTTATTGGTTTTACGTCTACCTACTTCAGATGGCAATAAAGTCGGTCAGTAGTTCATGCTATTCAACTATTTACTTCATAATGGTACAAAAATATGTTGTTTATATTAAGTCGGTTTTATGGTAATCTACATAATCATTTGTACGTTCGTCACACATTTTGGTTTCAGTCTACTATCTGTAGGTGTTAGGAGAAGAAACTGTCAATAAAAGAATTTAATAGACACAGATAAGAGCTAAAAGCGACCCCCGTTATTTTAAGTACTTTATGTCCGCATTAAGTTCTCCTCTCCGGAAAGTTGCATATAGAAATTCATTTGATGAAAATACAAAGAACGCAATTACATACTTGAAGCTACGAATTTTTTATACAACGTTGACATTTATACCCGTGCATTACATGCATGTCACACGCCTAATATTTATATTACAAGTCATTTTAAGTTACGATTCCCGTAAGACCTTAACAAAGTTTATACCTAAAAGGTAAAGTACTACATGTGAAACAAGAACCCCTCTAATACTAACTACGCCATGTTTTGTTCACATCAGTCAAACTACGTCTTTATATCATGAACAGGGACAAAACACAGAGTAACAAGTCCAAGATAGATTTGACTTCGATTATCAATAATGGGAGAAAGGTATATGTAAGGTAGGACGCACTAGGTGACAATTTATGCTGCAAGGAGATTTCATGCAAGAACTGTGGTCCCAAATGCAACAAGTTAGGGATCAAATTTCAACATTCATTGACATCATCTAAACATTTTAGTGTAGAATAAGATTGCACACACTATATTGTATCGTTATTTAATATTACGCACATCATGACATCACATCCATTATAAATATAGCTATTGCGGTCGCACTCAAGAGCCGTACATTAAATTTATCACTTCATCAAGTCACGTGTTGTACTTTTCTAATTGTTGTCGCAAAGAAAGTGACAACACAAACTTTAACAAAACTTAAAAGTCAATCGAGGTCTCAGAGTGCCACCGTAAGGAGCATCGATAACGATATTACACACAACAGTAGTAATTTATTAATATGATTTTAATTGTGCAATCCTACATTTAGTAATGTTAAATGTAAATGTATTGTACTACACGCAATATCAATAGCGAATCTGTATTACAATAATGTTTACTAGATCTCCTTCGATAATTCAGGAAACGTGAGCATTGTATCACTATGAGAAAGAGCAAGGTTGCTGTTACAATTTCGGTGCCGAATATTCTAATTTTAATGATACGAAATGACATTAAACACTACATTTTTATTTCATAACCAGCGCGCAGTAAACATTGCTCTCCGATTAAGTAACTAACATCGTTACGTTATCATCGAGTGACATGCATTTTGAAATGTCAGATCACACATGTTCCTTTCCCAATATAAAAACATACATAAAGTACTTACAATGTACAGTCGTACAAAACATCCCAAGTTTATCTAAGAAAAATAATGATACCCTAAGAAATATTTTACAGCTAGAGAAAATAAACGTAGTGATAAGGAAATTAACAAAATTCACGAATGGTCAATACTCGTGGTCATTCATTCAATGGTTGATGTAACCCATAAGCATATCATTGATATGAAAAGATTTTTTCCTCAAAGTATATGGTAATGTCTACAAATAGAACAGAAGAGGATTTAAGCGAAATAATAAAGGGGGTTTTCGACCGCTCAACATCAAACTTTATTTATAATCACAGATAACATATTTTGAGACAAATATAACACAAACCAGGCAGGTCTCTTTAACATAAAAAAGTAGATTATCACACAAATTCACGTCACAATCATTACATGAATTCGGAACAAAAAAGAGCAACAGGCCTAAACAACATATTTTTCAATTATTAGCTTGAAGTTACAACAAGTTTATTAAAACAATTTCGATGCGTTTTTAGTTTTTCGTGAGTATGTTTTCTGGCTTCATAAGAATTTCAATGGTATTCGTATTATAAAAATATATCACTAAATACATATAACATTGATTCAGAATTCGTATTGGATAATTGAAGAAAATATATAACTACCCAGGCAGGACGACCTGCGTTTGTACGCCGGGTTTCATGGTGTCGCCTACTCGAGAGGCCCCGGGTTCGAATCCCGGTGGGGGCAGATTTTTGTGTGATGAAGACGAGCATTTGTACTCCAGTCATGGATGTTTAATATGTATTTCTATATAAATATATGTACTTATATATATGTACAGTATATGTATTCTATCCGTTACCCTAGTATCCCATAACACAAGCCTAACAGTGCTTAACTTGGGTCAAGGCTAATTGGTGAGTGTTGGAAATATTTATTTATTTATATTATATACGATATATCAAAATATTTAATTTTAGTTATAAATAAAAAAAATCTGTGATTATAAATCTTTCATCGAAATGCAAAGATAATTTTGTAAACTCGTAAAGTAAGTAATTTAAATGTTTATTAATCGAAAATTATTAGGAATTTTAAAATTACATGAAAATTATACCGTACATGAAACACAATGAAATGTTTAAACAAAATATTTACAATAAAGCAACAGCTATAATTTAACAACATATTATTTACACACTAAAAAAATATTTTCTGCTACGAGAAAACCTTTTCATTCCCGTTTCATCATATTATTATATAATACAAATTACTTTGTCATAACAGGTAACATCTGACTTTCACACTATAATACATAACGTTCACAACGCAAAATATGTATTTATTTCTATACAGTATTGCACGCGGTATATTTCTATTGTACACGGTGTATGATACTAGGCGTACGAGTCAATCATATTGTAAATCGTTTATTTTTATTCCGTCGCAGGAAGCTACCATCGTATTTCGCATCGATCGCATCTCGTAATGATAAATAGTAAACACTAACATATAGATACAGAGATCCGAAAGTCAATTTTGATAGACATTCGGAGATAACTCAAGGGAAGAGGAAGTCTACGATGAAACTATTTTTACAACTCGAAATATCACTAGCACTACTAGACTACCCTTAAGAGAGAGGTTTTTTTTATAAATACGTGTACTATGTTACTCTCACGCAAATGAGATTTACAGCCGTAGAGGTACCACGTAGACCATTATCTCGGAGCGACGACCATCGGCGCGACGGTGTTGGTGGTGATCGTCTGCCAGAAACAGCGAGAAATAATAAATGCAAACATGAACGGGGTATGGGGCGTTGGTCTTATTGGGAGAGCAACTTTTGTAGAAGCGAAGCTTTAGCCGACGCTCCAGTCGCCCCCGCTCCCGCTGCCCCCGCCCCCGCTCCCGCCCCCGCACCCGCACCCGCCCCCGCCGCCGGCGCCGGCGCCTCATCACCGCCCGCCGCCGACCCCGCCTCCACCGAGCCCGCCTCCGTAGTACTCTGCGCATACAAAACACAAAACGTTCTAACATGTACTTCCATTCAGCGGCCCAAGCCTTAGATTAAAACAAAATGGGTAGATACGCGACGCTCATACTGGCATCAAATATGATTCGACTTAACTACATAAGCAACTCTCACATTCGCACACGCCTGAATATAAACATTCAACCGAGCGAGCGAGACAGAACTATACGCTTCAACGCAGCGTATTGTCGTCCTTTTCTTGATTACAAAATGGCTATTACGTAAATAACATTCACGACAAAGCGTGATTTTTAAGAAAAATGTTTTTACAGTTTTACGAATGAAAAGTGTTGCCGAGGCATTTGTTATTTGATTTTGAACTATTTGTGTTCTTATAAAAAGCATTGTTTTATTTTCATAACACAATATTGTTATATTTAGTGCACATACAGCGTGTTTGAATGCCCAATTGAGACTGAAGCGAATTATGGTGAAGCACCATAATTTAAGCGGATCACTTTTGAACTGCGGGTGCCGTATCTTCCCTTTTTGTTTGAATCTAAGGCCCAAGCACGAATTTTGACATTGAATATCGTCATCGTCAAATTGCCTTTGACGAAGCGATACGATTACGGAGCTGTAAAATTTCGTGCTTGGGGCACGGCTCACTGGCCTGATAGATGAATTGAATGCCCGGTGAAGTCGCCGCTAATTAGGGGTATTCTAGCAGCATTGGTCGTGTTAATAATGCGAGTGTATGAATTTTTATCACACACTTACAGAAATGAGTCGAACAGATGGTTTGATTTTCAGATTATCAGATCAGATTTAGCTGTCACTTTATTTTTTTATCGAAAAAAAACACGTATTTGTTTAAAGCGAGTGACTTAATGTATCTATACCGTAAAGTTACAAAATATAATGAGACTAACAAATATATAACAAGGATTTCTCTCAAGTGTTTTTAGAGCCACGATGGGTATAATATAGGTATCACAAGATTCGAAGCAACTATACACCGAATACCAAACGTGTTAGTCTCATCACTGTTTGAACGGAAAGGTATACCATATCCGAACCGTCCGACAAACCTGGAAGGTTTATTAAATATTGTCATGCAATCAAATTTATTGAATATCTACGAAACTCAACGGATGAAGAACCTTTATGCTATAACAACACTTTAGAAGCAGATATAAGCATACTAACTATGGCGAAAACATAATAACTGTTGTTTTGATTTAACACTACAACATCACAAAACCTTCACCAGTTCATCGTCTGCACATGCGGATTCGCCAAATCTTATTATAGAAGCTTAAAGATCCTTGAATATAAAAAACCTAAAAGCAGTGATATCGTCATATTCGTATGTCATACCACTAAATAGTTTCGAAAAATGTATTACTTATATAATAAAATAGATCAACTAATTTAAGAAATATTATTACACATCACATCACAAAAGCTTAAAAGTCATATGAAATGTACCAAATCCACATTTTAGTACCTAGATTGTACGCAAGATGAAGTCATGTTGACACAGAAAATCTTTAAGAAAACACGTTCACATTTTCATAACTTCCGAGCTGTTAATCTAAAAGCAAATGACAGACGTCAGTCATGAAAAGTGTAACTGTGAAAAAAAACATGAAAACCTTGGCACATTTCTCTAAATCAGCGCTAAGTATCAAGATGATCGACTCGACAACACACGCAGCAGAGCAGACTCAATACGTAATAATCATAGATTGTCTACAAAAAATAATGAAAACCGATACAAAAGTAAGTGGAGTGACTAAATGGTTTGGTCTCGCTGCTCGATCCCAATCTTACCGGGGTGCTCTGTTGCGACTCCCACGTGTTTGCCGACGTCGAGGACGCGCGCGCCCCCACCACACTGCCGCCACCTACGTACGTACACACCAATACATTGGCAGTGACCAACCCTACACTGGCAATGTTCCGCCAACGGCACTCATCCCATCCTGTTGGGTTGGATCCATTCCTTTCAGCCTAATTTATTTACATTATCATAGTACTCTATTTATATTTATGTACACCGATATCATGCTCAAAATGTTGCATTAGTGGACAGCTTATAAGTGAAATATATTTCTTAATTGATAGCCATATAGCGAATGGGATATATACAACGATAATACCCTAGATACAACAACACGAGCTAAATCGTGGCCGCAACCTGTACAAAAGGTACATTGGACGATCCACGGAGCTCCGTAAGATGACAGCGTAGTCAAAAACAATATTAGGGTTTATTGAAACCTTCAAACTCACCTTTAATGCAAAGTGTATAAAGTCTTAATTTAAACGCATGCGTCAAAGAATTATGTCAGTTCGATATGCAAGCTCGTAAAATTTTACGACTTGTTTCTATAGGCAGAAGAATATAGACTTTAATTCTTGGCCTTCTTCTAATAAGCTGTTAGCTATATAGCAGGTACGGAGCGCGAGAAAAAGAGACGGCGGTATAACCGACCATGCATTTGAATATCACAAATATTTGCTTCAAATGCGTTAAATTAACAAACATTGTTAGATACCTGCCGAAATAACGACACTCTCGTATTATAAGTATTTTTTTTCGAATTTTTTACGGAGCTCTGAGGCATGTTGACTATTCAACGCGTTCAAGCACTTCTTGGTCGAGACACATTTTGAGCGCACGTGGTGTATCTAAGGTATTTAATGTCGTTGGATATATACAAATTTTGTCATTTATTGTAAGGTGTATCAATAAAAGTCAATTAACCAAACGAGTTAGCAAGCATTAGTAACTGTCCTGTCCTGATTTCTTGAGTCCTGATTTGTAAATAATTACGTTGAACTCACTTCTGATGATTTTAACTATGTTAGTCGCTGCAATCTTTTAGTCCGACTGTAAATACACTTTTGAAACGGATACTGTATTAAACTTTATTTTTTATAACAGCTTTTTGAGTCTTGGTTTTCATGTTAAGTGATATCGAGTAAGAAAATCATGACACCAATATTAGTAGGTATATCAGCTACTATTGATCTGACAGAAAGTTACATAGACATGAATATTTATGTCATAAAAAAGACAAGGACGATTGTGATTCATATCATTAAAGATAACAAAATAAGGTGAAAAAGATAAATTGAGTAATATAATAATTAACTAAAATAAATTTAGATAAACGGAACAGATATTTTAATGACCGTATAAATATACACACAATTGCGATTAAATGACATATCACAAATAAAAACCTGTTTTCATAAATCAATAATAATTGGACATAAAATTAAATAAACGTCCTAAGTGCTATTTTAAGAGTTCAATTAAGAAATATAGTACCTGCAAAGACAGTTAAAATATTTTTTAACTAATAAATTCACACTCTACGGGGGTTACAATTGAATTCATTCGTGCTTTGCAATGTAGCAATAAGAACGATATTTCTATTACAAGTAAAGTTGTATCTTGAGGGCAAGTCTTAAAGAACCATTCGTTAATACCCTTTCAGAATACACTCTCTCCTATAAACGCACAAACTTTATGTAAGTAAGATCTGTGATTATCGTTTTATAAACTTTCTTAGTGTAGATAAATTGACATTTTCACACTACCTATCCCAAAAAATAGGTACTATTTTTTTTTGTTTCACCCAATTATAGTTAGAATAGAAAGAATAAAGCTCTATGAATTTATCTCATTTCAACTCCTGCCCCGATAACTTTCAATTTGACATTAGAAATATATTTAAGGTAACTCCATTTACAAATATGCCCCAGTATAAATTATCAAATTGAAAAGCGTCGTGAGAGGACTTCAACTAAAAGAGCGGGTAAACTTACTTTTTACTTAAGTCATTCCGTTATATGCTAGATTTCTTGAACTGTGCCTTTTTTATTTTATAACCTCTTCAATAAAATTCGGTGATGCGCGAATAAAGAGAATTAAATTAAATAATAAGGTGTATATATGATATGTATCGTGTACCATTTTCACTCTGAAATTTTAAGACTTCTTGTCATGTATTTTTAAAAGTACTCCCAAACAAGTTAACCGTACAAGATTTAAATATTTTCATTTGTATATAAAAAAACCCGTTTTTTCTGAAATTAATAAGTACTTATTTCTTTCCCCAAATAGCATGAAAATATGAACTTTTTGGCAGTTCTGTGAAATGTTCTGTTCTCTAAATGTGGGGTTCTCTTAATAGAAATATTGGGTGACACCAGTAAAGTTTGAATTTACTCATTAGAAGGATCGTTTAGTTAAACCAAATAGTTATTTTCAAAACTGACAAAAAATTTAATTTTAATTATTCAACTTTATAAAGTAATAATATAGGAACTAAACAAAGAAAATGTTACTAGAAAAAAATCCACGCGGACCAGGCAGAAGACGGGACTCGAACCCTTCGCTATCCGGGCGAAAGCACTGACCATTAGCCATTGTCCTAATACAACGCGATAACGCGTTGAGAAATGAGCAATGCGATCATCGTACGAGTCGACGATCAAACATATTGATCTAGAATAGGTGTCCTAATAGGCGATCGCGCGATACATTCGCGCGACTAAAATGTTTAAAATACTTTTCGCGCGAACTTAGTTCTTGCGAACGTGCAATCAAACCTATTAATGATGAATAGGTGTCCTAACAGAAGTTCGCGCGATGATCACGTCGCGTCGATAGGAAGCGGGGAGAGGGGCAGGGCTAACCCGACCAAACTGTGTGTCAATCGTGATCGCGTATTCGCGTTCTATCGCATCGTTTAATCGCGCGATGATCGCTTTATCGCGTTGTATTAGGACAATGCCTTATGCTACCGCGGCCCTGATGGCCGTGTCAAATTTTCTCTACATCTCTGTAGTGTTTCTTAAGCTGCAAGACAGCGCCATCACTTCGCATTGTAGGTTGCCTTGCAGTTTAAGAAACACTAAAGAAAATTCATATTTCATACGGCCATCAGGGCCGCGGTAGCATATTGGTCAGTCAGTGCATTCGCCCAGATAGCGAAGGGTGCGGGTTCGAGTCCCATCCGCTGGCTGGTCCGCGTAGATATTTTCTAGTAAAATTAACTTTAGATTTAAACATCTAGCAGTTAAACGCTTAAAAAATATAAATATAGGAACTATTTTATTATTCGATAATGTTACACATTGCCTCAATGAGCAACCGAAAAGGTTATTTCAGCGCCTGAAGGACCTATCTCGATGCACCTATTGATGTGGATGGTACTCACCAGAGGTAGTCATGTCGAAGGTCATCAGCTGATCGAGGTCCGGCGGCTGCAGCTGCGGTTGTAGGTCAGGGCGGGCGGATCGAGCGCCCACTACTGCACGCAGCTCGTTGCGTACGTACTCAGAAGTTCCGCCACCCCCGCCCCCTACGACGCCCCCTCCGTTGCCAGCGCCTGTGCAACATATAACCCCATACATGTAAACTCACGAACGCATTCCACACAGCGCCAGCATTAGGGTAGAGCGAGATTTAGTGAATTAAGACGCACCCCACCCCCTTCTGTTGCCAGCGCCTGTACAACATATAACCCCTCACATAAAAACTAACGAACGCATTCCACACAGCGTCAGCATTAAATAGAGCGAGTTGTGGTGACTTATTTGTGCATCAAAACAATCTTTATCTTTTCACGTACTACAAAATACCGAAATGTTAACTCTTAAGACACTGCGCATGTATTAAGAGATTCCCCGCCCCCATCCCCTACAAAGCCCTCTCCTTTGCCAGCGCCTGTGCAACATATAACTCCCCACATGTAAACTCATGAACGTATTTCACACAGCGCCAGTATTAAGGTAAAACCAGAGGTGGCGACTAATTTGTGCCTCCACATACTCTAACATTACGGCTTCTTACTAAGAAATTTCGATATTAAACACTCTGAGATACTACATTAGTGCTTTATGCTGTGTTTATCAATAATGTAGAATAAAAGGTGGTTTTAATTTGACAGGTTTTGTAGTAAAGCTAAAACAGTGGAAATTACACTGTAAAACCTGACCAAACCAAACCAAATTTATTTTTGATGAAAATCTACATTTAAGTATTTATTCAGCTTGCTCATTGCCCCACTGGCCACTTAAATCAGAGTGATACTTGTTTAACAAAGCTTGTTCATTACTTCTGACCTAACTAGCCTCTTTAATTAACGTGATACTTGTTTATGCAAGCTAGCAATATGCTCGTTGGTTCTGACCTCACTGGCCACAATAATTAAAGTGATACTTGTTTAACTCATTATAAGTCTTGGCATGACTCCTAATTCTTCAAACAAAGAAGTAAAATGGCAAAGTGAAATATCTGGCTCCGCCCATACGAAGGCTGCTGCCAGTTCCCAACCCATATCAGACTGATCCAAACTGACAAAATGCGATTATCTCCAATCGACCCATGACGTAGAATCTCACTTGAATTTGAAAACTGTTACAAAGCGAAGTTGTTTAAGCGAGAAATGCATAGATTAATTATAATAGTCATGCAGAGCGGCTGTTACTATTGAAATAAATAAATATAATTAAGGTAAATTTTAACTAATGGCAGTCGTTAAACTGAATCTACTCACCTCTCCCAGAATTTAATGGATATCTGTCTTTGCTACAATGTTAAGTGTTTCCTAATATATTTTGTTAATAAGTCGATTTGCTATGATTTAATGCGTAATGACGTGTTCTACGATAAAAGTGTTATAACGTATAGTGTAATGACCGGTACAGACGAGAAGCTTTTGTTCGCGGAAGGGGACTTTTATTTCCTCGTGTGAGTCCTCATCTATTTTGACGGATAAAAAAGGTCGCAAACAATTAGGATGATTCACATTAAACCTAGTCGGGGCCGGGTCATGGCCAGCTGTCTTAGCAGTCTTTCTCAAAATAACGCCTGGGCGATAACGCCTCCATTATTTTGCTTAAAAATAAAAAAAAAAAAAAGTAACCGTGCTGATGATTTGAGAATCTCTGGTACTTTTATATGAATTCCCACCGACATTTGAACGCCATGCATCACCGCCGAGCCAGTCAAACATTATAATTACTTTTAAAATGCTCCAACCGCAGTCCGGCCTTGCCCCAACAAAGGTGTAACGTGAATCAGACGTGTAGGTAGCCGGTTTTCTTAGGTATCCTTCATAAAATAAGTATTCGTACATAAAGTGGTGGGCATATAATTAGAAACACATCTTATGAATACAGAAAGTACAACTTCAACGTGTTCGTATAAAATATACAAGTTCAATAATCATGCAATAATGTAGCCACTCAAATAAAAAACTCAGTAAATGCATTAAATCAGAAATCAATATATCTTTATTCAAATTGGATGTATAGTACAACTCTTTTGAATCGTCCAAAAAATTTTTTTCCCTACCACTCGTTATGGACATATTTTTAGCTGCGGAGAAAAACGAGCGAAAAAATCTCCACAACATTAAAAGTCTAATGTAACAACATTTACAAATCATTATGTTGTTACAACGTCAATACAATTATGATTTATTTAATATAGAAAACCTGTTGGAATGATTGGAACAGTTCAAACCCAAGCATTTTTGTCTGTAATATAATCAGACACTTTGTAATAAGCTTTTTTAATAAGTGTTTTTTTTATAATATCTTTAAATTTATTTATGGCTAACTCTTGGATATTGCTTGGGACTTTATTGTATAAGCGAACACAAAGACCTTTCAATGAATTATTAATTTTGTGAAGCCTAGTAGCAGGTAAAGTTAGTTTATTTTTGTTTCTTGTATTAATTGTGTGAACATCACTGTTTTTAAGAAACAAATTAATATTTTTTCTTACAAGTAATAAATTTTCGTATATGTATTGTGATGCGACCGTCATTATTCCAAATTCTTTAAACTTATCACTTAATGATTCTTTAACTTTAAGATTATAAATTAATCGAATAGCTCTCTTCTGCAGCACAAAAATAGTTTGAATGTCGGCGGCATTTCCCCACAATAAAATTCCGTACGACATTACACTATGGAAATAACTAAAGTACACTAATCTGGCCGTATCTACATCCGTTAACTGGCGTATCTTCATTACGGCATATGCTGCAGAGCTAAGTCTATTTGACAATTTATCAATATGTGGGCCCCATTGAAGCTTAGAATCTAAAGTTATCCCTAAGAATGCTGTGGTGTCTACAAGGCCCACATTCCTATCCTTTACATTCACACTGGTTTTTACCTGTTTTACATTAGGTAATCAAATATAAAACATATCTTAATTTTAATTACAAAATGAGTCTTACACAGGAGGAGTTTATTTTCTGTTACTGCCGCTTGGACGCCTAATAAGAAACATTTAAAAAAAAACATCGATAGCTCATTCTTTTTTTGAAATTGGAGAATAACATTTCTTTCTTGGTTTTATTTTGGCGGCAATTCAAAATTTAATTTGAATTTTATTTTGTTCAAAATGGGCAAAAATAAAAAATGTGACGCGTCAACTGTGGGAAGGCAAATAATTGTTAATTTACATGTAGATCATAAGTGGGCGTACAGAAGAATAGCTGAGCATATAAATTGTTTTGTTAAGAAAGTTTTTAATGCAATTGATCATTATAAAACACATGGAACTGAATATTTTCTTAGAAAGGCTGGGCTAAGAAAAATCTCTCCCAGAGAAGATATGTCAACGTTCGTGTTGGTAAAAAAAGACCCAAGTAAAGGCCACCCAGCATAAAAATGAAGTTTTTTCGCCTGATGACTCTAGAAACATCTAGTCAAGACTGATACGCCGAAGATTTAGTAGAAAATAAATTGTTTGGAAGAGACGCTCGAAAGGTACCGATTCTTACCAAGCAACAACAAGAGAAGCGATTATTATTCGCTAATAAAGACGGTACGAGAATGGAGAAAAGTGTTATTTTCAGATGTAACAAAAATAAATATGGTAAATTCCGATGGACAGCGCTAGGCTACGCGTCCTGTAAACAATGCTTTTACTTATAAATACACAAGGAGTATAGTCGAGCACGGTGACGGTGACGTTAAAGTTTGGGGGTGTTTTTCCGGATGTGGAGTGTTGGACCCGTTCGGAAGATTAAAGGTACAATGGATCAATGGCAATCTAAAAAATCTTAGAGCACACAACGATTCCGTATTCGGACGATTATTTGCCTGTAACCTAGATCTTTGAGCATGGCAATGACCCTAAACACACGGCCAATAGCGTCAGATAGAAAATCTCTGGAATATTGTTAAAAAGAAAGTTTCAAACAAACCTAACACCAGTCAAAACGAACTATATGAAACATTTGTTGGAGCATGGAATTCAATCCCCCAGAAAAATGTATGAAATTGATTGAATCAATACCACGTCGTTGCAGTGCTGTTATTGGAAATAAGGGATACGCGGCTAAATATTAATTATAACTATTTGTAGGCTGTGGATAGTAGCTATTTCGTCAATAACAATACTCATTACTAATATTTAAAAAAAAATAGTTTTATACGTTTTTCGTGTTTTTTATAATTAGTTGACCATTATTGTTCATACTTTAAAACTGATTTAAATGTTTGTCCATAATGTAATATTTAAACTGCACTTGTGTAATAGAATTCATATTGTTTTTCTTACAAATGATAAATCGTTGAACATATTATTGTTGTCCTATTTATTGTATCATTTCAAAATAAAAACGATTGCGGTGTAGTATCTTACAAAATGTCAAGGACCATTGGTAGTGTTTCTAATTATACGACCACCACTGTATATAACTAATAATGGTAGCATTTATTTATTTGACAATCCGTTTGTATGAAAAGATTTACTTTATTTAGTTTTTATTTTTTATCTAAATGACATCAGATCCTTCGTAATAATAAGAAATCTTTAACTGGCCGAGTTATATTGAGGTAGGTAAAATTTTGTTTGTGTCCGCGTGTTCAAGCGTCTAAGTATATCGGTCGTTATGATAAGAAATCTTTAACTGACCGAGTTATATTGAGTTAGGTAAAATTTAGTTTCAGTGACCGCGTGTTCAAGCGCATATAAGTATGTATAAACACGTGCCAAGCAATCGTGGCGTTATGCTGTGCAATACTATGCATGTGTGAATAATATGTGGAAAAGTAAACTTCAAATACGTGCGCCGTGTATGTGCTTAAATGTCAAGTTGAATACGTGACGATTACTTACGTGTATACCTATTATGCCGATATTTGTCAAGTCAGTCAATTGCTTTAATTTCAGACTTGGTGGAATACCCACGTGAAATAAGGTCGAAATGTCTAGTTCAAACATTTGCGTGTAAATGACAATTTATGAACTGTTTTGAGTAATAACCTCGTTACATGGTTATAATCTTTGATTATTTACAGTCTAGATAGAGCGCGCCAGCGCTATTGCGATGAAAAAAATATCTCCCACCAGGTGGGGTCTAAGTCATTTCCGTCACTTAGTTTTCAGTACAACGCTAAGCGATACGCGCGTCAATTACAGAGTTTCATGTTGAAATTATTGCCCCAAATGCTGAGTAGCACGATAAAAGTTTGCCGAAATTATAAAGGAGGCATAAAAACTACCAACAGTCTCTTAACATCGACAAGTAACACATTATTCACCTTAATAAAATATAACTAAATATTAGTTTAAAAAAAATACATTTTCTGACATTTTCAAAGTGATGTCAGGGTTTGGCGTAATCAAAAGTAAGTATGGAGTTACGAAAATTAAGAAAGAGCTATGATTAAAAAAATACTGATGACGAACTAGCGAAGTCTGCTTTTTCTACCTGTTTTCAGTGGCTTGACCATACATTTTTTTGCGAAGGTAAAAATAAATTATTTGAAAGATCTGAAAAATGTATAAGGCTTCATCATCTTTAATTTTTGCCATTTCCCCCTTCATCTCGAGCATTTTACATTGATGATAGTAAATAGTTATTTACTAGGTCATATTCATAGGTATTTGACCAAATGACGCTTTTATTAGTTTAATCTACGAAGAATTACACTATTAAAATTAAATTTAAAGTAATAAAGTTGACAAGATCGTAAAACAAAAGTTTTGCGTTATGTAAAATTTTAAAGATAAATAATACACTTCTGGACACATCTATTGGCCCACCTTGTATTTTCAGTTTCGTTTGGTCCTAGCTAAAATTTTATATTAGGTCGAGCAAAAAGTTTTTATGCAGTTTTGAACCTGGCACATTCACAATTTCATTCAATAGTCTTTTTTTGAATTTTGAACACAGAATTTAAAGAAACAAAAGACAATTTGGAGCCTGTTTGTTGATATCAAACAATCGAATACTAAGAAAACTTGGTTTTATTGGTTTACTTGGATTTAATTCTTGAAAAAGAGATTGATATCTTTGGTTTTGCAACAAACATTACTTATTCTTAACATTAAGGTGAGGTTCTATCAATAATCTATGGATACTTCACCTGAAGTCGCCGCCCAAGCTGTGGCACTTATTGCCGGACACAGCCAAAGAAACGTGAGCGCTCAACTTAATTTAAGTCGATCTGCGGTCCGAAATGTTTATCGGAGGTATATAGAGACTGGCGGCTTTGTTCGTCGCCAAGGAAGGCCACGATCTCGAGTCACAACTGAAAGGCAGGATCGATTCATCGTGACGACCAGCTTGAGAAATCGTCACCTTACCTCCATTGAGATACAAAAACAAATTCGCGACTTCCACGGAGTATCTGTGAGCGCTCGAACTGTTCGGAGAAGGTTAAAAGCGATATGGTACCACACAAGCCAGCTAATGGGCCCAAACTAACGCGAGCCCACCGAACAGCGCGCCTTCATTTCGCACGCAGTCATTTAAATTGGACACAGCAAGATTGGAGCCGTGTACTCTTTTCTGATGAGTCTAAAATTGTGTTACATGGCAATGATGGAAGGAAGAAGGTCTACCGACGTAAGGGAGAGCGTTTCACACAATGCTGCTTTGAAGAGAGGGTTGCTTATGGCGGTGGCTCATGGACTGTCTGGGGCGGTATATCCGCGAGCGGCAAAACTCAACTTGAGGTTGTTACAGGACCACGGCTGCCAACATTAAATGCGGAAAGGTACATTCGTGAGTGCTTAGAACCTCACGTGATACCATACGCGGACTATGTGGCCCAAATTTCCTTTTTATGCATGATAATGCAAGAGCCCATGCGGCCGACATCGTCGGGGAATATCTTCGGGATGTGAACATCACAGTTATGGACTGGCCAGCCAGAAGCCCAGACATAAACCCCATTGAGCACATGTGGGACGAGCTAAAAAGACGTGTTAGGGCTCGTCAGCCAGTTGCCCAGACGATGCACTAGTTGAAAACTGCCATAGAAGAGGAATGGGAGATGATCCCTCAAAATTTCACAGAGCGGTTGATAAACTCTATGCCTAATCGTATGAGAGCTGTGGTAGATGCCCATGGAGGCAACACGCGTTATTAAATTAAACCTTTATTTGATAAAACATGTCTTTTATTCAAAATTCAATTGCCTTTAACAAGGCGTATATCCGACTTGTTAGGCGTAGCTCCATGTCGTATGGTATTCTGAATTCAAATTTAAAACGATAATAATACGATCGAAAAAGATGGTAAAATGTATCAGGTTTAAAACTGCATCAACAGTTTTACATCAATCTAGCAATCATATTTCGGTAGGGGCCATAGATAAACCTAGACTCTAAGGTGGGCCAATAGATGTGTCCAGAAATGTATTAAACTACTAAATTCAAAAAAAGACCATTTTGCTGTTTCTTTCTATATTATTATGATTGTTATTTCCGTAATCCAATCCAAGTATAAATTTATCTGTTTTACAGATGTTTCAATGTCTATGATTTTTAATGTGTGAACACTATCTAGAGAGTAAATAATCAAAAGTTATAACAGGCTATTTGACAGTATGAAATATAAAGTAAGTACCAAATGTTGGCATCCGCATTTAATATAAATATTTTCTTTAATTATCACGTGTAATTATCGGTTATTCCTTTTGAACATATAAATATAATATTTGCCGTTGTGTATATAATGCAAATGTGTTTAGCTAAGTGTAAATGATTACAGTAACTTATAAAGACCGTGGCGTCTGCAGGGCTCGTAACTATACTGTTTAAAAAAGTATTATACTGTTTTTCACTACATTATAGTTTTTACTGTTGAACCAAAATAAAGTATGCATAATATTGTTATCAGGGTGGTGACGATTCAGTCTTATAGAGTGAGTATCTCTGTGTGTGTGTGTATCAGGAAGTTATGTGTATGTGTGTATGTGTGTGTGTATGTGCATGTGTGTATGATGTATGTGTGTGTGTATGGATGTGTGTGTGTGTGCGTGCGCGCGCGTATGTGCATGTGTATACTCACAGGGCAGCTGCGTGTCGTGTGTGGGGTGCGCGTGGGGGTGCGCGTGCGGCGTTCGACGCGCGTACTCGCCGCAGTAGCCGCCGTCCTCGTAGTAACCGCCCACTGCCACACGCGACACCACGCGTTATAAACAACCACCCACCCACTACTGGACGCTATATACCACCTACCTATAGTATGGTCACGAGGCCCGACGATCCCGCGATACGAACCTACTTAGTGAGACTGGGGCGCATCGAGAAGGCAACGTTATTTACAAAGTTCAGCTATTAAAATATTAATACAGTTTTTTGATGTGCAACATCATGTGTTCTCTCGCGAAATGGGACGAAAGTTTGAAGAAGAGGGGCAGGGTAGTAGTGACCAATATGCGCGATACAACAAGACTTTTTTATGTGCAATATTTCCTCCAGCGAAAAGGCATGCGTACTCGCCGCAGTTGCCGTGCTCGTAGTATCCGTCCACTGTCACACGCGCCACCACGCGTTATAAACAACCACCCACCCACTACTGTACGCGAATCACCACCTAATGGTCACGAGGCCCGACCATCCCAAAGATTAGGGCGCGTCAATAAGGCAACGTTATTCACAACGTTCGTCAATTAAAATACTACTATAGTTTTTTTGATGTGCAACTTCTTTTCTCTCGAGAATTGGGACGAAAGTAAGCCACGGGAAGCCGGGGCAGCGTGCGCTATTTGATATGACAAATGAGCGTGATACTAATATTCTTTTTTGGCGACGATCCCGCGTTACGAACCTAATTTGTGTTCGCACTGATTAGGTTCGGGACGCATTGAGAAGACAAATTATTCACAAAGTTAGTACAAAAGGGACGCACGTGTGGCAGGTCTGGACTTTCGTAGGTTGGGCAAAATAATTTCAAAAGATGCAATTTGTAACCTTATTACCAAAATTGTTTATTTGTGAGAATTTAAATTTTTTTGATGATCCATTACATACTTCCCTTTAAATAAAGAGAAACGTGCCGAACAAATTAAAGAAGTTCTAATAGAGTATTTCGTCACTATTCGGCTAGCTCACGCACCCACGACATGAGTCATTGCGAAGCCATCGCTAAGCATGCAAATATATATTTTGGACTGTAACTTTAGATAGGTACTTCCATACTCTAGGTACAAGCATTAATTGTTAGTCTTATTTCATATAATATGTGCATATTATAATCGGCATATTTTGCCAAATAGTCGCCGAATAATTGCAGACTACAAACGACGCGAATAGTCGTTTTTCCCGACTAGTCGGTGGCTAATCGGCCCATCTCTGCTTATTACCAAGGTACAACGTAAGTTATAAACATGATAAGCGACAGACTCGCCCTTTTTTAAATAAATAGACTCGCGGTAGACTACATCCCGTCAAATGGAAAGCGAAGACGGCGCATCTTAGGTGAAGCACGCTTACTTACGAAGAACCTATTTACTGGACGCAAACCTTCTGCATGAAGGAGTACATATACTACGATACCCTGAATTTAGCTATGCCCCTACACTCTGATTTATCTTCTTTAGCTATACCCCCACACTCTGATTTATCTTCTTTAGCTATTACCCTACACTCTGATTTATCTTCTTTAACACATTGTAGAAAAAAATAAATCAGCTCGAGTTTATTAACAAATTAACCTTCTCGACGTCCACAGTCACTCCTGAATACCTGATTCTCTAGACGGACTTTTTTGTTTTTTTTTTTTTAATATAAAGTAGTAAAGCGAAAGTCATGCAATTAGTTTTTAATCAATCAGTCTTCGGGAGGTACTTCCCCGAATTCAGATAAATTACACTATTTCTAATAAATTCTACGGGGCATGCGGAGAAGAGGATGTTTTAATTCAAAAACCGAATAGTCATGCGTTTATATAAATGTAATAGGTATATTAAAAATAAAATCTTTCCGGCATATCTAGTCTAATCTAATATCTACCTTAAAAGATAATTGAAATTTTAGTAATATTCTCAATAAGAAGCATACCATATAAAAGAAACCGTTGGATCAGACTGAAGACTTTCCAATCTAATTATTAATAAAAATATGCAATTTCAAAAATTTTGTATTACCATCCCTTTTTCCTTTACCACGGAGTGAGAGTAAAACAATTGAAAACATGATAAGATCTCGTTACTTTATGACATTTGTGACTATAAGATCTACATTAGTATATATCATAGAATATATTGTTACCTAATTGTGGACGCGGCGCACGGTGATATTGTGGGGTCATAGGGGTGTGTACTCCACTCGCCATCGCTACGCTATGAGAGTAGCCACTTGAACCAGAACCCTAGAGAAAGTTACAAACAATGAGAAAAATAAAAGATATTGTCGAATGATTGTTGATGTGCAACATCTTTCCTCTCGCTTTCGTGCAATTTTTGGGAGTGATTACGTGAAGTGGGACGGAAGTGTGTAACAGGAAATCGCGAAAGCGCGCGCTACTTGATTTGATTTTAGAACATAATGTTCAAATGGCTTATTCCTTTTGTAGTAAGTATTATTTCTTTTTTTTTACTAATATAAGGTGAGGTTTCAAATGTTACTTACACATCATACGCGACTACTGTAAGGCTCGCTCGTTTTTGTTATATTGTATTATGCTTCGAAAATATCAAATTGTATGTATATATTCGGCCAATTAGTTATAATTACGATAAAAAAATACAATTATAAATCACTAGCGTCATTCACATTATAAACTGTGTACTGTAGCGCTAACGGATGGAAATATTCAGATTAGTGCAATTGGGAGTCGAATACGCAACCTCCAAAGATGCCAGACCTCGGCGACCTAGTAACTCTGAATATATGTCAGTTGTGCGATCAGTCAATTTGATTCGTGAACCACCATAAACTTATTTTCTTACAATCATTTCAAAACAGTAAGGTAGATTTTTGTTTAAATATACAAATCATTTTTGACATTAAAATATTTGGAATTTTGCCCATGGACTAAGGATTACCTTATTAGTTTACCAACGATTAGTTTCTGTAACATTAACTATTATAAATGTGATAACTGATATTCCAATTATGTCGAGCTCTATTCCATTGAAAATAAAGCTCAAATTTCAAAGATGTTCTCTAATATGGATTAACACAGTTTCGTTATTATTAGCTGGTCCTAATTGCAATTACACATTATCTAAAACTTGTGTTTTGATATTTTTAAGAGAATTATTCGGCAGATCATGAATCAGTTTGTTCGATCGTACATTTAAAAACAAAGTTGGCTAATGAAACAAACACGCATACTTACGCTCAATTGCCGGCTTAGCATGGGGTTTTGTTGCGATGTAGTGATTTTATTTGTACCATAATTTGAACCCATTTGGTCTGCGGACAACGAGAAATTTTGAATAAATTGACTGTTAAATCAGTGTTCATATAATAACGACAAGTCATTTATTTCAGGCGAATTAGCTATAGAAAATAAGACATAATATATAATAATAAATGTACGGAAAAGCTACTCACTCGTGGGATGATATAAACGTTGATAGTCAGTCCTAGTGAGGGCGACGTTGGGCGGTGTCCCTGATACCAGGGCGTTGATTGTAGAACCCAAGTCTTGTTGCGGTTGTTCAGCGGCCTGTACAAAAATAAGGTATAAATCAGGCTGGACTGTAAGTAAGAAGCATGTAGCCCCCCCCCCCCCCTCCAAAGTACGTACCTCCGGCGACACCAGCATCTGCTGCGTGAGCTGCATCTGCAGTAGGCGGTTGTGTTGCTCAGCGAGAGCACGCGCTCGGGCCGCCTCCGCCGCACCGTACATGGCCCCGCCAGCAGTGGAGCCCCCACTCGCTTTACTGCCCGCACTACTGCCGCCCATGTTGCACGACCCCTGCGTTAAACAATATAGCATCATCAACATCAGTCTATTTATGTCCCCACTGCTGGAGGATAGAACTTCCATTTCATGGGGTGGGAAAAGGGCGAACGCGCAATCCACCACGCCCTCACAGTGTTGCCGGTGGGGGTTTGGTCGATTCCCAATAAAGAATCCACTGACACGCATCTCAGGGATTTTTAGAAAGGGCCCCTCTATTCCGAGCAGCCATAGGGTATTTTCCAAATTTTTGAAAACTGCTTAAGGCGGTATCAGACGGTTCACTTTTCGTTCATTTTTGTCTTTCATTCAGCATCTTTCACTCTAACTGCGAATGAACGAAAAATGACCGGTTTGCACACAGAGAGAACGTTCACTCGGATTCGGCCATTTTGTCTCGAGCTCGGTAGCAGACGCACGTAACGCCCAGGTACGTACCTGTACCTGGTATAGCATGCCGTGTGTAGACCGGGTCTTCGCACTCTTATCCTACAGGTGCGGTGTCTGCCTAATGCTAAGCTAGTGTGCACGTTTGCTAGCTGTGCAGTGTTGGTGTTTGTGGCTTGTGTGGGAGGAATCGGAGGCGCAGTAAAATGGTGTTCAAGAAGAATGAGCAAAGTACGCTGCTGTTTTTGGAACATTTTAAGAATAATCAATGTTTATGGAACCACAAACTTGTCGAATACAAGGATAGAACATTACGTACAAACGCTATAAAATCCCTAATTAGTGATTTAAACCTCGAGGTTACTGAAGAAGACATCAAATATAACATAAAAATTATACGGACCCGCTTTACAACTGAATTAAGAAAACTAAAGCAGTCTACTAAAAGTGGTTGCTCTTCTGACGATATATATCGTGTGACTAAACTGTACTGGTTTAAAACTAACATTACTAACTTTTGGATTAAATGGTCACAAATTAAACGGATTCCGTGACGCGTTCTTTTCTTTGTCATTCGCAGTAAGTTTACATAGCTATTTATCTAAATAATTAATTTTTAGGTTAAGTGAACCTTTCGCCGATTTACGTTGTGTATACAAAGTTGACGACACACAGTAGATGTCATCGAACCGAGCGTCTTTGCGGTAAATTCACAACCATTAAAAATAAATTCCACTTTAATTGGTTTAATGGAGAAAAAAAACTAATTAATTTATATTTATTTTTCTGGTAAATCGATTGTCCCAATCTTTAAATATAAGCAGTGTTGGAAAATTTGGAAAATACCCTATTGAGCAAATCCTTTAGGCTGGCTTAGTAGTTGAACGAAAAGAGGAGGGAAGAACCACATAACCCCGTTGCCATAGCCAGCAGAGTATGACATGTCACGCATTTTCTGAGTGAATAAAAACGGACATGTGCTGTTCATGCGATAGAAGTGAAAGCTACAAAAATGTAAAGAAGTAAAAGTCCTTCATGACTAGGTACCGTATAATACTGGGCAAAATGAATTATTCTAACATGTCCGTTTTTTTTTATTCTAACAAGAAGGAACTTAAGGAACTATCCTTGTATTTTTTTTATATACTTGACGATATTTAAGCTTCAACATTTCATGCATTATCGTACACGTGTCAAATTTGTCTAAAAACAGAATGACCGGTCTTACAGCCGATATTGTTAAAATTACACTTCACGTTCTTATTTGCGTATGCGTAGTGTCAAGTATGAATTATTACAGAACACGCCAATAGCAATCATACGCCAATACTATCATTCCGCACATGGCTAACTATTAACTGCTGTATGAATTAATTATTTACAGAATAATTTACAATCCCAAATAATATTTGTCATTTTTTTATTTATCTACATTCTTATTACTTCCATTCCGTTGTGTCCAATTTGTGAAGATGTAAATAATCAAGTAACTGCAAATCAGAAGATCTAAATTTACCTGAAAGTTTTTAGAACGAAAACATGTATTTTCACAACAAAAATTCGAGTATAGAACATAAAATGAACATACATAATAAACATCCCAAACGCGTTCATAGAGCGGAAGTTTTTCAAATTAGATAAATTTTATAATGTCAAGTTATATAATCAGCATCATTTGCTATATTACATCCTGGTTTTAATCGTTTTGACGATGGACAGGTGTCGACATAATGTTCGCAGATGTTAACTACACTAATGAGCGACAACTGATATCAAAGTGATAAAATCGATTATCGTATTATTCTAAAATTTTTTTTCATATTTTTTATTAATGTCAAAATTAATAATAATCAACATGAGCCTAGTTCTTATAATAAGCGCCTACCATAGCTTTGCAATGTAAAACTTCATTTTTAATTTTGTCAGGTAATCTGTGGCCTATATGCCAAAAATAACATTTATATATGCGTGATTTTTACAGATATTCAATTCAGTTTTATAAACCATTTTGATAGGTTAATATTTACTTACCGGACTTTGTACAGGGTACACGGGCGGAGTTCCTGGACTCGACACGGGACTTTTACTGGCCGTCTCACACAACATGAGACTTCTTCGTATTTCATTTATCATTGCTGTTTTTTCTTTTACAGACTGTAACGGGATAAAAATTATATACTATCATTAAGTACCTTCAGAATGCTTTCCAATTAGTATTGGTCTTTCTTGACTTCTACATCCTTCCACTTATGCATCACATTTAAACAAAATTAAAAAAACATAGCGCTCAAATCATAATTTGATGTTTTGGTGCGATTTCATCGAGGGCGGTTGGCGTCATATTTTAATTATTCTTTAAATCGTTCATAGTCAATATTGTGACATAAAATTGGTATGATTTTGTGATTAAACATCTGCGCAACTAAGGAAATAGTGATATCTTTTAAATATACGCTATTACTGTTAAGTGGACGTGAGAACTTTACTATAGTGTGGACTACCTCACAGAAGCTTATCGAGAAAGCCAACTCTATACATTTCGTGCCAAACAATCCAAGAAACATTAGAATGTGCAACAACTACATTCTAATGTACAAATAAAAAAGAAGATCAATAAAACTGAAGATTAGACTGTATGAGCATTGTTCGGTTTGACTTAAAAAAAATTCAATAAGATTGTTCGCCTGCCACATGGGAAGTTTTTAAGTCACGACTAGCGAGATTTAGTGCATACAAGTGGAATGGATAATAAAAATATTCGGGCACAAGTATATACATATAAAAATAAGTTTCTTCAAAAAGCGGTAACCGACAAAACGTCATTTTACTGCTAATAAAAAGTTTCACTTTAGGTATGTAATTGTAACACTCGCGTGGATAACAAGACGGGAAACGCAAATAACCAATTGGAAAAAAAATATGGTTGTAATTATTGCCTATCAAGATAATTTGTATGTTTACATGACTTATCAATATATTTTTATGTTTACATAATAATCATACCTCGGGCGCGCTTCGATCAGCATCAGGCATATTTTCAATAACCTCGTCCAATATGTCGGATAGAGTTTGATCGCTAGGTACTTCGCTGTCTCCCGCACCTGCTCCGCCTTGTGCACGATTACTACTACTTCTGAAAAATAAAAACGTAGTTAGTAGAGAGCAATCTAATATCACACGAATTAACCTAGCCCCAAAAGTGAACTACAAGACTTGTGTTGTAGGATACTAGGGTATTAAAGAGAAATACATAAAAATACAAAGGTATTTTTGTTGTAATATATACATAACCATGACTGAGGTACGATCGAACCAATTGATTCCTGACACACTTGCCCGATAATTCGCTTAAAAATGTCAAAATAGACAAGTTTTTCTTTGTTGGGTATCCATGATTGCTTATAGGACCTTCTTCATATAGACAATGAAACTGTGTTAAGATAGATCAAAGATATGTATTTGGAATTCGCCCTATATTTTTAATGCAATAGATCACGTTATTGATAATATTGGAATAGCAGCTACAATTCCGTAATCACTTTTAAAATTGTAAATGTAACAGAAACTCATTAAATTTCTTGACATTACAAAAACGTTGCTTTTATAGGAAAATCCTTAGGCCATGGGCAAAACTCCGAATAATTTAATGTCAACATTATGTCACAGAAAGGCGGCAAAATCTGTCACGTCAAATATGATTGTTTAGAAAATAACAAGTTTGTTTCCAGGGATACGTACATTTAAGCAATAATCAACCTTACTGTTTTGAAATGGTTGTAACAAAATAAGCTTATGGTGGGTCAGGAATCAAATTGGCTGATTGTACAGTAGCTTGTAATTATCATACAAACATTTGCTCGATCGGGATTTGCACCCAGTACCACTGAGAAGGCGACACCTTGAAGGCCGGTGTACATACCACTTCACCACTAAGGTCGATAAATGGTTATAAACTGCATACCTGTTTTATTACTTGTAATTTACTTTACACTCTTGATATAATTGTTTGAACTCAACGCGGATGTAATTGCGATAAAAAATGTATATATAACTCCGAATTGTACCGACGTTTCGTTGATATTTCATAGGCCATGGTCACGCGTTATCACAGCTGCATCCAATTTCAGTTTTAAAGTTCACTCGAGAGTACTTATTACATAAATTATGTACGGTATTTTCAAGCAAGGATAATGCGAATTTTTCACAAATTAAAACTAAATTTAACACCAGTCTCTCTTTTCCATTCTGTATAGAAAAAGACAAGGCTTCACTGTGGTCAAAATATTATATTTAGGTCCAGAGAATCGTGCCTGAATCGACACCTAAATTTATATAATCATAATATATTTATAAATGTAAACATTTCCAAAATATTCTCATCAGAAATAGCGGTGGACAGGGTAAACGGTAAGTTGATTAATTTTACCCGATTAGTCGGAAAATCGCTGCTCGAGTTAGCACGTAAGCTGAACAATTGTCCCTCTGCCATATTTGCAACAATGCTTATTGCATTGTCGTAGCTACGTCTTTGGTTGAAATAGTAGCGCTTTACGATATCAATTTGCTGTGCGACATTCGACCTTGGGTGGATCCCCAAAATCTCAATCAGGTGGTTATGTGCGCCATGCATAGGCCCGCAGTCGCCCCCCTCTCTCCGCCCCCACCCCCGGAGCCACCTACCGCAACGCCGTTTAAGTTGTTGTCTGTACGTGTTGTTGTGTGTGGCGTGCCCCCCTGCAGCACCATCTGCAGGTGGCTCTGAGCGTGTGTGTGTATTTCACCGTGTGTGTGTATATCACTCACGGCGGCTGGTTGTTGTAGGAGTGGTGCGGTGCAGTGGTGGCGTAGTGCAGGGACGGCGCGGGCTGCGGCTGGTAGGAGGCGCGCGCGCCTCCCTGCAGCACCATCTGCAGGTGGCTCTGAGCGCCGTGCATGGGCCCGTGTGTGTGTGAGTGTGTATGTGTGTATATCACTCACGGCGGCTGGTTGTTGTAGGAGTGGTACGGCGCAGTGGTGGCGTAGTGCAGCGGCGACGCGGGCTGCCGCTGGTAGGAGGCGCGCGCGCCCCCCTGCAGCACCATCTGCAGGTGGCTCTGAGCGCCGTGCATGGGCCCGTGTGTGTGTGAGTGTGTATGTGTGTATATCACTCACGGCGGCTGGTTGTTGTAGGAGTGGTGCGGCGCAGTGGTAGCGTAGTGCAGCGGCGGCGCGGGCTGCGGCTGGTAGGAGGCGCGCGCGCCCCCCTGCAGCACCATCTGCAGGTGGCTCTGAGCGCCGTGCATGGGGCCGCAGTCACCACCCACCCCGCCTCCGCCCCCGGGGCCGCCTACCGCACCTCCGTTCAAGTTGCTCACTCGACTGCGGAGGAAGAACACCCGGCATAAATTCCATTTCTTGACAATAATATAACTCGTGTCATTAAAAAGGTGTCGATAATGCCAAATTACTTAGGATAGCATGTGCGAGAGGGACAGAATGTCTAACATCGTCATTTGCATTTCCTTTCTTTAATAGCACGAGATATACATATTTATTTGTTTCTTAGGTTTTCACGCACATCACTCATTAAATAAAACTAGTTTTTTTACGGGTTAATGCACGAAACTTTATTTATTTACTAGCTGACCCAGCGAACTTCGTACCGCCCTAAAAAAATAGGGGTTGTCCAGCGGACAAAATTGTGAATCTAAACCATTCTCAGATCCCTTTGAACACACACAAAAAATTTCATCAAAATCGGTCCAGTCGTTTAAGAGAAGTTCAGTGACATACACACTCACAGAAGAATTATATATATAAAGATTGACGTCGTCAGAATTAAACTCTTTGTTTCAGAGAGCACGGGGTGTCTGTGACAAACAACACCTGGCAGCTGAATTTCAGCATGTCGAGCAAGTACTGAAGGATAATAACCTGAATGTACCACGTCGCCGTCACAGTCGCGCCAAACCTAGCACAGTCGACCGACAACCTGCTATACTACCTTACATGAAAGGAGTCACTGACAAGATTGGGAGGATTCTGAAGCGTGCTTCAATCAATACATACTTCAAGCCGCCAAAGAAGATCAACCAGTTTCTACGACCGGTCAAGTGCAATATACCCTTTCAAGTTGCTGGTGTCTACAAACTTGAATGCTACTGTGGGCTCTCCTACATCGGGCAAACAAAGAGGAGTATAGGGACTCGGGTAAAAGAACATATCGCAGATATGAAACATAGGCGCGAAAATAAGTCTGCAGTGTGTGAACATGCATTAGGGGGACCAAACCATTACATTAGATTTGACAAACCACAGATCCTTGCAGCTGAGTGGCGGTTCGTTCCTCGAATGATGCGCGAGGCTATTGAGATTAAAAAATATCCAAATTTCAATAGGGAAGATGGTTGGTATATACCACCAGCTTGGGAACCTATTATACAGGAGATAAAATCCCAACCCCGAGCACACACTGCAAGACCATCAGATACTATTCGTTCTTTTTGTTTGCATAATTTAACATAAGAAGGAGATAGAAAGCCTCTCTGAGTTTGTTTCGCCGGTTCTTTTCAGAAAGGTCTCCCAATTTTGGAACCGGTGGTAGTTTACGGTAGTTAGGGTCAAATAAATAAACTCAAAATTACAAAAAAGAATTTAAATAAAATATTTTATTAAGTAAATTTAATAATAAATTCATACATAGACAATAAAACTTTTAAAATCGAACAATGAAATAACCGAACGCTCAATAAAAGTCTTTCGAAGGTAGCTCGACAAATTAAATAAAAGTTTAATTCTGACGACGTAGCCTGTAAAGGCTACGAAACGTAAATAAATAAATAAAGTTTCGTGCATTAACCCGTACAAAAACTAGTTTTATACATATTTACTTATATTAAAAAGTTTTAATAGATACACCCAAGGTTTTTTGAACCAAATTAAATCGCAGTTTTAAACTAACGTTTTAAATTTTTTTAAACCCTGCGCTGCGTTAAGCGGGAGTACGGAGTGTGTGTCGGCTCCGCGTGTTGTTTTATGTTATTTCATAGAACAGCACTGCGTGAGGCGGTTCTCCCGTGCAGCACTGTTCTATAAAATTACATAAAAACTACACACGGTGCGGACGTCCGCTCCGTCCTACTGCGACCGCCCATATATTAGTGATGGTCCGTCTGTCGGGAGGTTCAACTTGCAGCATTTAAGTTAACCTATTAGCTAGACGACGACCTAGAGCTAATGGGCGTTATCTATTACTGGGCTAATAAAGACACTAGAATCTTTTGTTTTCGAAACTTACTGTGCGGCGTCCGTCAGTATACTGGTAATGGTAGAGTGGTGATGCCTGGGCGTCTGCATCTGATGCGAGGGCGGGGGTGGGCGTGGCCTCACACCGGCAGTATACGCGCGAAGATTCGGATTGGGCAGCGGGGGCGGTGTAGTGGGTGTGGTCTGCTGGCGGGCTAATAGCGACACTAGGATCTGGTTTTTCTGACATAGAGCACTCATACTGGTCGCCGGGCACGTAACTGTTGATGAAGCGGATGAAGACGCAGCCGATACGGCACTCGAAGTCACCTAATAGAACATTGAAGAATCGTAAAGCTTCGTTATCTGTTAAGTGTGAAATCAAAACGTAATAGGGAAGATGCATATATAATATTTATGAAAATTTTATGATTAAAATGTTAAAAAAATATAAAAGAAATGCCACTGCAACGTTTTTATTTTAAATAATGTTTTTTTTAACAATTATTACGAATTAATAATACTTGAAACGGAACGTATTTTAAAACACCAATCAGCGTTTAGTGACGTCACTCCTGTTATGACAACTTCTTTGAGGTTATGGTTGTTAAAGTAAATATTATTTTATGGGAATATTTATTGCGTTTTTTTTACATTTAATAAAAATGGAAGTTGCGTTTATCAAAGCAGACTCCAGGAATTTACCAAGAGTTAGCGTTGACATGGTTATAACTTTTTTTGTCCAAAGTGCAGAGTTTTTAAGTGTAGAAATGAAAGGGACTAAATTACTACGGTATGCAAAAATCGTAGTTGTTAAACTTCGTATTTTATTCAGCGGCTTCTACAAATCTTACGGCGATAATGCAATCGGCTATGTCCAAATTAAAAGAGATGGAAAATTATGTACAGTAAAAGGTCGAGTTCTTCGGAGCATAAAGTACGTAAAGAAGGTTATCGTGTTACAGTTATTTTAAATGAAACGCAAAGCTTGGTTCAGTCCTGCCAATGTGAAGATTGTGCCACACATTTTAAACTTTATCTAATTTTCGACGTCATTCTCCAACTGTAAAATTAAAAATATGTTATAGACAGGTTTTGTAAGTATTAGGTAGGTTACTAATGCGTTTTTACGTACAAGCAGATTAATTAAGCATATAACAAGTATATTCGCCGACTTACGTCAAAGTGATCTTCTCAGCATCGAATAATGGTCTTTGGAGAATAATTGTCATTTCTCTTCGCAGCTTGAAACCACTTTTTTTCAGTTTTGGGTCAGAAGTTCCAGTCAAAAACAATTTATTTGGGAACTTTGTTGAAGTAGATTTGCACAAAACATGAGTCAACACGGCTTTTTTTCGGAATATTAGTGGTATTGTTATGATGACATGATGTTGATGGATAGTCCAATTAAAACTTTTCAAAAAAATATTTCGAAAGTCGAAAAAATATGCAAAAGTATGAAAATTTAAAGCCAGCAACGAACAATTACGACCAGTGACAGACAGGAGTGACGTCATCGCAACCATAGGTTCGTTTTCGTGCGAAAATTTAAATTGTCAATTTAAAACCGCATTTTTTCCGATAAATCACAATGTTTTAATTTTTTAATATATCTGTGGTTTATTCTACATGGAATTCTTTAAAATGAAAACAAAAATAAAAATAATGCATCTTCCCTATTGAAATTGACTTGAAATGGACAAAACTTATGGATTGAAAATTCATGGGTAAAATAAATATATAAATATTTTAAACAATATAAAAATGTCATGACCTGGCAAAACTACATTATTTGAACCTTTTGGCGAATTTCTGAACTATTATCGATTCTAAACCCTTGGTAACATTAGTAATTTCAAAGATAGATAAGGTGATTTCTTATGTCTTACCTGTTGATTTTCAGGGGTAGCCCTTTTAACACTGTTCGCAGCAACTTTCACTTCTTCCAACTTGCGTTTGACACCGGCAATCCTTTCCAAATAGTTGTCACTTCCTTCTTGAGAACGTCCATTGCCTGAAGGCCCATTACTACTAGATAATAGCTGCGATAATAATGCACTAGGCTGTGACGAACTTCGACTCCCATCTCCTGAATTCCTTCTTTCCCTGGCATCTTCATCTGTTTTGTCATTCAATATCTAAAACGAAAACATGTTTGTCATAATATGGATATACGTTATTAATATAATTACAAACAAATAAAAACTAGGAATATTCTACAACTTTTTATGCGTGTACAGTCGAAGTAATATAGCTCTTAGTTCCCGTTTAAAATTTATAAACTTTTATTTGCCTTCACACCATTTCAGAGACTTATCTCTTTATTCGAAATGTACATACATCCGGCTGCACTAAGATGTTTAATACACACATTATTCGCGTAACACACCTGTAAAAACATGTACAAAAAAATGGAATAAAAGTAACATTTTTAACTATGAAAGATTTATGACATATGATAATTACCCTAAGTAGCACATCGGAGTTATGCGAATGCTGCTGAACGTTGTGCGCATTGTGAGGCGCATGTTGCACGTTGTGCGCAACGTGCGCGTTGTGCGCAGTATGAGGCGGCCTGGGATGCATCTATAGAGAAACACATAGTTATCAAAACTGTTTCAGAACGTTAGTTGTGGTTTAGAGCAACCTCACATTGAGCCTCGTGGTTCAGTTAAGTCACTAGACAGCCACCCATCGCCGCTACAAGTAGCTAACTCGAGCATCTCCCGCAGATTGTAGCTCAAATGCGGCCACTGGAATGCTTAATTTTCGAAGATACTATACAAAATGAATGACAAAACTTATCCCCAGCTTGTGACCTCAACTAGTGGCTCAATGTGCGGTTGCTCTTAATTTTATACTTTTCATTTATTTCTTATGTTTTCACTCACAGCAATCATTTAAGTTAACACTTTCCTTAAAGCATTTCATAGCAGGTTTTTATTAACTTGTGAACACGAAATCTTTTAAAGGGTCCGAAATGTCAAAAATAATGTTCCAAAATAAAGAAAACGGGCTATAAAAGTCTTCATAAATAAAATGTTTTATTAACCAAACTATCTATACTTCCTAAATAAGCATTTCATTTAAAGATGCGATATTATGAATAGTTCTCATCGGCTTTTAGTCATATGATGGCTAGACAAAACGAATTTAATGCTCAAAACCAATTCAACCTTAAACGTAGAGCAATAAGGTCTTCATGAAACTTAGTGTTTAGTTTACGATTTTATGAAACATGGTTAGCAACATATTTATGTGTTACTACTTAGAGTGGATGCACATGTACGGTTTCTTGATCAGGAATTCAAATTCAGAATCCTGTGAGCCTGGAGCAGACGCTTTATTCGTTATGGTCCTTGAGTCCGGACCGAAAGTTAAGTATTTTCCATTTTGGAAAATAAGAATAGTGTGCGCCTCGTTAAAAATTTTGTATGCAAGGACGTGCATTCAGGTTTCCGAATCTGAATTCCTGATTAGGAAACCGTACATATGCGCCCAAGCTTTATACTATAAAAAGTAGAAAAGGATATTAACCTGCGCCGGGTGTAAAGGTGATAGCGCCGCAGCGGGCGTGTGAGGGGTATGCGGCGTATGCGGCGTCAGAGGCGTATGCGGCGCAGAAGTCTCGCTGCCTGTCGCCTCCTCATCCTCTTGCCTCAACAAATCCTTCAGAATGCGATTGTTAGTGTTAGTAGCCACTTCCCCCGGTGTTGGCTTCTTGCTCAGCAACAGCCGCAACCTATTAGGTTCCTCGTTAGACGCGCCAGCTATCGGCACGTCGCCCGGGGTAGACGGAGCGCGCGGCGTGAGAGGCGTCGACCGCCCCTCTGAGGGTTCTTTCCTATCCTTTGAATCATCGCTCGCCATCTCGGGGAGCGGGAACGTGGACGTCCAAGGCTCGAGATCGAAATCATTGATCGAGAACGGCGGCGGGTCGGCGGGACTCATCGCGGGACGGTACCGAGGCTCGCAGGTGGAAGCCTCTCCATTCGCGACGGAAGTCATGAGGGGCCCGCCCACTGTCGGGCGGGGGGCCTCCGCTTCGAGGAGGTCCAGCTCCTCGTCGCCGAGAACGATGTGCGTCGACATTATGAAGTCGGGATCGCCCGAAGTCGGCTGAGCTCGGAACAGTCGCGAGCGAGCGGTCACTTTGAGCCACGGCCGATCGCCAGCGATGCGCAGGCGGAAGGGGTCGCTCACTGCAGGCGGCGCGGGGTAACACAGAGCTTCCCGAAAATGCGACACTACGCGGAGTCTATCACCACTTTCAACTAGTTCCAAATAACGTGTACCGACGAGGGACACGGGAGAGTTTAAATTGTTTTCCACGGCACTTAAATCACAAGCTGCAAAGAAAACATATTTACTAATTAATCATTAGTAAAATAGAAACATTAAATGGAAAAGTATGAGGTGAATTTTGGACTGACCAATGAAGTTAAAAAATCGGTAGGACAGGTGAATTAGGAAACGACGAGGCTGTCAAATGAGGGAAGTAAAATAGATGACGTAATATAGGAAAGAAGAAGAACACAACGATAACAGGATGTGCCTGAAAATAAACACTTATGGCGCACTTACATTTGGTCGTTAGCCCGTATTCAGGTACAAGAAAGACATTTGCTCCAATTCGAGCACCCGATGCAATATTTACATTGTCTTTACTCAAACACGGGCTAGAAGACAGCGTCAGGTAACCAAAACGAAAACTGTCCGAATACGGGCGTACTCGACTCCGTTCATTTACACTTAGTCGTTTGTCCGAATTCCATAGGCAATCGTATTAGGGCTAACTACCAAGTGTAATAGCGCCATTATGGAGGGATGAAGAATCAAGGAAGGTCACCAAAATGCCCCGCCCCATAAACTTAACAATCAGCGTCCTTATTTATGTAATAGTTTTTCCAATGACTTCACGGACCACTTCAGATGCATTCAGGTACCGCCGGTTAAGAACCACTATTCTAATGGTTTACAAACAATGAGTGTGCCTGAAAGCAAGCGTGGATATAACCAAACTCACATATTATAGTGTTGTTGCTGTCCAATCTGAACACTATGTGGTCGGAGGGCTTGGCGGCGATGGCGGGCGGACCGCCGTCGACGGGGAGCAGTGCGGCCGACGCGTCCTCGCAGCGCCGGATGACGAGCGATAACAGCGTCGGTACAACCAAACTCACATAGTATGGTGTAGTTGCTGTCCTATCTGAACACGATGTGGTCGAAGGGCTTGGCGGCGATGCCGGCCGGACCGTAGTCGACGGGGAGCAGTGCGGCCGACGCGTCCTCGCAGACCCGGATGACGAGCGATAAAAGCGTCGGTACAACCAAACTCACATAGTATGGTGTAGTTGCTGTCCAATCTGAACACGATGTGGTCAAAGGGCTTGGCGGCGATGGCGGGCGGATAGCAGTCGACGGGGAGCAGTGCGGTCATCGCGTCTTCGCAGCGTCGGATGACGAGCGATTCAAACGTCGGTTTAACCAAACTCACATAGTATGGTGTAGTTGCTGTCCAATCTGAACACGATGTGGTCGGAGGGCTTGGGGGCGATGGCGGGCGGACCGCCGTCGACGGGGAGCAGTGCGGCCGACGCGTCCTCGCAGCGCCGGATGACGCACATGACGGAGCCGGACTCCTCCGACGACGGGCCGCGCACCGGCGCAGCGTGGATCACACTCTCCACGTAGCTGGACAGAGTTAACACGACAATTGTGATCACCTTATACACTGTAATAACTCAAACGACAACGCGCACAGGCTCAACTGGACAGAGCCCGCCAGCTCCACGTAACTGGACAAAGTTGATCATTGTTACAAAGTGCGAAGAGTGATCTGTACAGTTCCTGCTTTAGCTTTAGTTCTCCCGTAGTCTCAGCAAGAGTTCATAACGCTAGACGATCGTTATTTAATAAAAGCTGACAGTTTCTAAGTGCATGGTCCCATCAAATTGCTGGGCGAAGCCGAAAACGATTTTTAAGGGGACAGTGTTTGTTTTTGATTTAACTTTTATTCTTGCACAATTAAAAGTTTTTAAACGCCACAGAACAACCAACGTATCTGCAGGATAACTTTCGCATATTTATAAAGGTACGAACCGAAAAACTCGATGATTTATAATGTGCCTAATGAATCGTCAAAAAATAGGTCATTATTTTTATTTCAAATACAAGAATACTAACCAGGATACAATTGATGATGATGTAATTGGATAGTCATAAAATTACAATGTAAAGCAATATTTCTTTGAGAAGACCCTAATAAATTCGTATAATTTATGTTAACTCTTCTTAGTTTGTAAAAACAGTATCATGGGAAGAAATAATACTCGCGCCGCGGTACTTCTGGTAAAACGCGGTTGCCAGTTGTGATGTGAATGAAATTTTGTGACAAGGAATCAATACAGTACGGGAATGGATAATATCTAATTAATAATGTAACAGGCATAATCTATAACTGCAGATGAAATCCTGCTTTGATTAGGAGGCAGAAAATAGAACCCTACTGATTACAATCTTCTATCTAAATAATAACAAGAGAGTGCAATGAAAACAGAAGACTGGAAATAAGTTGATGTAAAATATATTGTTTTCGTCATCAATAAATAAATTTTGCTAGCAATACTCTTCAGGGAATATAATGAATGCGCAGCAAATAAAACTTATTTACAATTATGCAAAATATTCTTTGGAAAACTTCTTTCAATTTTAGACAGTTAGTTCTGGAAATATAATATCATTGCAAAGATAAACATTCACCTACTATTTTATTTATTTAAACTGACACTTTGTTAGCTTACTATACTATTTTTGATGACTTAACTCTCTTCAACCTGTCAAGATTTATTTTCGTATCAATTCAGCAAGATAGCGCAATAAACTTCATCGAGAAGGCCAACGACCTATAATACTAAATGACATTATGAAATCCGTATCACTCACTAATAATAAATTATTACTATTTTTATAATACCGCATTATTATGGCGAAATATGATTTCAAATCAGCTGTTTTGATCATCAATGTATCGTATATTCTCATCACAAAATATACTGTATAAATTTATACTTCTTACTGCTTATGGAAGCCTTTAAGATTAATTACGATGTCAGTGGTGGCCATGACTTAAGAAAAGCACGGAAGAAGTCAATATTTTAAGTTTTTAGTTGCTCATGCAATGATCGACCTTTGAGGAAGTAGTACTGGTTATCAAAAGAGACTTAAACTCCAGTATCAATCAATTACTCGCGAAAAAGGTGCAGAACAGCAGAACTATCCCATTCTGATAGAGAGCAATTAAGGTAACCAGGACAAATAAATATTGTACTTGAACACGTGATATTTATTTTTGTTATGCTTATATGAAATTTTAATAATTAATTACAAATTATAATGTAGAGAATTAAGTAAATGTTGAACATATTATAAGTATGTAAATAATTGTTGGATAGCCAGTTAGTCATTTTGTTTAACATTATTATTCTTTAAGTTTGTAAGTTCATGAAGTTTTAAATCACAACCGTTTAATGCCAATATATACTTGACTAATGATTATACACACATTATTATTATATATCATTTTATTCTAATCATGAATAAATATAGATAGCACTAACTGACCCAGCGAACTTCGTGCCGCCATAAAAATAGGGGTTGGTGATAGGAGGGTGAAAGTTTAGGGTTGAATGTACTTTTTTGATGCCAATTCTTTTTAAAAAATGCCCAAAAAAGAAAAATGTTAGGGATGGAAAACCCTTATCACTCAGGGGTGTTAAAAATAAATAGTAGCCGATTCTCAGACTTTTAAATATGCATATAAAATTTCATAATAATCTGTCAAGCCGTTTCGGAGGGGTATGGTTACTAACATTGTGACACGATAATTTTATATATAAGATTATTTATATTCTATAAATTTTGTAAGACAGTAGACGAAATATCGAACGTACGTTAATAATTTGAAATCATTGACAGTATATTAATCCCGGGGTATAAAGTATATTAAGTATATTAATCCAGTATATTAATTAATTAAATATGATTAGTTCAAACAAACAGCTGAAATCATTCAGCTGTTTGTTTGAACTAATCATATTATAATATATCAAGTTATAGCATTAGTTGCGTCACTTCTCATATCTAATTGAAATAAAAAAAACCGGAAAAAGTAATCAGTCCAAAAATCTTTAACAAAAAGCCTCTTTCTCAGTTGATTTTTTGTCTTCACTTCATCTGCATATTCCTATACATATAATCATTTATATTGAATAGGTAAAGGGGCGGTCATTATTATTAATATATTACTACTATTACTTTCCGTTAATTATGTATTATTTCTTAAAGAAAAGCAGTGATCTTAATTGCAAAAAGTTCAGCTCCTCCATTTTTGCTTACTGCCGTTCATTGAATCAACTACAGTTATGGTAAAACTATACCTAGAAATTACCTTGCTCCTTCAGTCCCATTAGTATTCTTGACCAACAGTCTGACTTGAATGGCGTGAAACCTGTCGAATTCGCCTGAGCCCCAGGCAAACTTCTGAATGTTTCTCAGCAACGGTCTCAACTTCGCATGATCGTTGACATGCAAGCAGGAGAATATAGATTTCTTGTACAGCTCAGTTCTGTCGTGCAGAGTGAAATCTTTTATATTTTCGGTGACGCACTCGATTTCTCCTTTAGCGTTTATCTCTAGCAACACCCATCCGAGACTGTTAGTGTAGTGTTTTAATGCCTGAAAACGTGAAGTGAATTACAGGTTTAGAAGTTTTGTGAGAATTGTTTTAAATATGATCGTTATGTCGATAACTTTACTTAATGGCGTAAAATTAGACAATCAGAGATCCCTGAACCACAAACCACCTGTTTATTTATTATCTATCGATAAACACACTATTGCAAATCCTTTTGTGTAAAGTAATCTCTTTATCGGTCCAAGACAAAATATTGTGTAATAAAAAAAAACACATCACATCAAATATCATATCATTGATGATAGTGCAATTTTTTCATGGAATATTTTTATTCTTGATATTTATCTACTTCTTTGATGTAATATTTAGATAGTTTTATATTGCTTATTGTTTTCATATTGCTTGTTAAATATATATTAAAAAAAAATCAGTGCGCCGCCAGGGGAATTATCTCAATAAGCCGTGCCTCAACATTCACTCCTATAAGTCCTTTCCTTCACACATTTTTCTATATGTTCAAATGAAAAACATTCTAATGGATTCTCTTATGGCAATGAGTATGAATGACAAGGAATTCTTCTTCACACGTGTCAAGTAATTAGAACTTATTGTCCCGGATAACGAATGACACCGCTGGCCTACTTGATGTCATACAGATTCAGATCATGATGCGGGGTTTGATTTGATGCATTATTTTTTCACGGGTGGGGGCAGAGGGGGGCAAATGTCACGTAATTGATAAGCCAGCACCTGGCAACCCTAATTGTTTCCCAACAAGATCTTGAACAAAAGCAAAGCCAAATAATTGCTGCTCATTGTTACTCAGTCGGTTATTGTGGAGTCAAATATAACACAGACCAATACCAAGTATGAATACTAGATACTAGATATATGTATTAGTCTCATAATACAGAACAAACCAGAAACCGTCAATGTGCTCAAAAGTGAAACCATACAAACCACGCCGGAACGGTGTGGTTCGTCAAATTGTCATTTAGTCAATGGCCGAAGCTCGTACTGTTTACTAGTAATTTCAGCTGTCAGTTTTAAAATAATTATGCCGTCGTGTGTCGTTCCCACTTGCAAAAATGCAACAGGATCTACGAAGAAATCAGATGGGATCACCTTTCATCTGTAAGTTGTACATTTCCAATCCATTTTATTAAAATATTAATTTAATTTACGTAATATAATTGTCAAAGAAAATCACGCGTCCATTTTGTTAGTATTGCCACAGAATAATGGAACATTTTACCCAACTTTTTTATAACTTTTAATTTTATTGATTTAATTACAATTATATGTGTATTTTTTATTCAGGGAGCCGTTTGCTAAATAGTATAAACTGCGCGAGTGTTTTAATACCATTTATGTGCGGATAATTCATTCAGATAAAACTAATATAGCCATTAATTACTCAGTTTCAAAAAGATATGCCAAAAAGGTATGTTGAGATTATAATTTTAATATTAAAACATGAATGTAGTCAAATATGTTCGTCACTTTACGTTTACTAGAAATATTTTCACTTCTATTAGTTTACTTAATAAATTATGTATGTGCAAACTACAAAATGTATTATTTCATTCTACCCCACCGTATTATCCATGGTATAGTATAGCCCTATCATCATACCAATTATTGAGCTGAGTCCAAGATAAGTTTCAGTAACAACTTGTGTAAAGGACTCTAGATGAACATACTTATACATACATATATATTTTTTGTAAATACATACATAATATGCCAAGACCGAAAGAGGAGTAAAAGACCAGACTATGCAGATAAATAAACTGTTTTTCAGAAAAAACGGGCACTTTAATTTTTTTTCTACTTCAATGAATATAACAAGAAAGGGGTATTATAAAAGTTATCTTTAATTTTAGTTATGATAATCACATCCAGTTGTCAAGTTTTATTCCTATTAAATTAAGTCAAAAGGAATGAATATATTTTACCTATTGAACGTTTAAAAATTACCATTTGACATTACTGTCATCATCATCATCATCAACAGCCTATCATAGTCCACTGCTGGTCATAGGCCTCTCCAAATGCACGCCACTCAGATCGATCTTGGGCTACTCGCATCCAGCTCCTGCCAGCCACCTTGCGCAAATCGTCACTCCATCGTGCCTGAGGACGTCCTACACTACGTTTGCCTAGACGCGGTCTCCACTCCAGAACTCGTCTACCCCAACGGTTATCGGTTCTTCGGCAAATATGGCCAGCCCACTGCCACTTCAACTTGCTAATCCGGTGGGCTATGTCGATAACTCTGGTTCTCTGTCGGATTACCTCATTTCTGATGCGATCTTTCAGAGAAACGCCGAGCATAGCCCTTTCCATAGCGCGTTGAGCGACTTTGAACCTGTGGATCAGCCGTGCCGTCAGTGTCCACGTCTCGCCTCCGTATGTCATCACAGGTAGGACCCACTGATTGAAGACTTTCGTCTTTAGGCACTGTGGGATCGACGATGTCAGGACTTGACGTAGCTTCCCAAACGCTGCCCAACCTAGCTGAACTCTTCTATTCACCTCGTCCTCAAAGTTGTTTCTACCTAACTGCAATGTCTGCCCGAGGTATACATATTTTTGAACAACTTTGAGAACGATATATTACTGTCATATTATACATAAAATTTTAATTTTACCCCAAAAGCGGTAATGTTATGTTGCGCTGGTAACACTACGCGGGTGGGTACGGCGCGGGCGGGGAGTTGTTTTGGACACAATGCGCTCTGTACAAATAAGACTAAATGCTCCTTCTGGTTTGTTCTGTATTCTGAGGTATTAGTGAAGTTATGCCCGTACCTCGATGAGCGTGGTGAGCTCTGAGTAGTGGTGTCCAACGCTGAGAGCCTGCGGCTGGGTGGAGCTGACTTCACCAGCCTGCACGGGTGATAGGCACTGAGCGGTGCGCAAAGGACACTCGCTGGGGCACTCGCGCCGACGCTGAAAAACGTCCTGGATCTGCCGCGTCGCCTCGCGGACGATGCCGTTCTTGTCGGGCTGCTTCACCTCAGCGAGGCAAGTCCCTAACAGCTCCTCCAACTGATTAATAGTCTCGTTCTCGAGCTCCCGCCTTTTTTTCTCGTTGTGGCACTTATTTCTGCAATTAGAAACCAATGACACCTCCTTATACTACTTACTACACATTCGAGTCGCAAAATAATAATAGAAACAGGGGTATAATGAATTTTTTAACAACATGATATGTGTCACATTATTCGGTTGGTAGAACATCCAAGGTCGCAGGTGGCTTCGAGGACTTCCGGTCCTTATATCTAACTCATACTGGTACCTACCTACGACGTTTTAGGAAAGAGTTGGATCTTCATTACAAACTTTAAATTAGCAAATTACGCGATACATAACAAATTTAGTTATACAAAATAAGCTAGTAAATTATTAACCATAATAACAACAACCATAAAATGCATGGCTTTAATTAAGGACTTTATTTTTTATAACAATTATTAAATAAGTAAAATTTAAATAAACAAATAAATAAAAATACTATGACTTTTTATAAAGCATTTACCGATAGGAGTATTTTGAACAACTTAAAGTTATATATTAATTTCAATAATAACGTTTAAATAAGTATACTTAGTACAGTTCTTGCTAGTTAATAAGGTTTTTTTATTAAAAAGAAATCAAAATCCTGCTTTGAGCAATCTTATGCCAATATTTAAGTTGAGAACTGACCAAAATTTTAAATTAATTTTCGTATTTTTTTATTTTAGATGCTATGATAAAAAGAAGAAATGGGTAAGCCTGAAATGTAAGAAACAATTAGCGGGTTCGACCCCCGGTTCAGACAGGCGTTATTTAAAACTCCTTGAATGCAGTTTTGTTTTTAAATAAAAATTAAGTCTTCTTTCAAGTAAACATTTAATCTACAGTATTTAAGGTACTTAGTCTATGTGGCAAAGTTTCCAAAATTGTCTGTCGTGAAAAAGAGTTATGTTGCTCAAGGTGGTGTGGTGTGGTACTTCGAACATGACTATAAGTACGTTAAAACATGAATTGTGTTGTTTGTAGCGTATGAGCAATCGTTCGTTGTTGTGATATCATAATATGCGGCTGAGTGAAAAAGGTATTAAGTTGACTAACACTGATTTGCACTTGGCCTTGAACTTCTTAAAGTGTACTTGAACTTGAAAAGTTAATAATTAATAAATATTCACATTACATAGTCTCACATTTAGCGAACATTGTTTCTGCTGATATGTAGTTAACTGATTACTAATTGCTTGGTTTGAAATTTGAATATCACTAAATATGTTTAGTTAATATAATATCTTTCAAGTAGCGAGTAACTCGTAGGTTTAAGGAAAGTGGAAAACGTAGGATTTTTTTTCTTGTAAATACATATTATACAACTTTTGGGCACATATTGGAATTTAACACCAATTGTTTTTGAATTGGTTAATAAAATCATGCAACCAAAGTCTTTGCCATCTCAGGTGTTCGGTTCGATCGTTGGCTTCGCACTGGCCTCATTTTCCTGTGTAACCATAGTTGACGGATGACCTTCACGAATCTTGTCACTAAACTTGCTGTCTAAAACGTCACATGTCCACAACTCCTTAAACACAAAAACTTCATCCACTCAGGGTGCAAATCTCGTATTATTTCTATTAGACACTTCTCATTGTTCTACTTATACCTATTTATAATTATAGTTACCGACAAATCTAATAGATTAGTAAAATAGGAAGGGTAGGTATTATAAATTTATTTATTTATTACTACTATAACAGGTAATGCATTAGTATAGTCATCTTATCAAATAAAAATGACAATCATTAAATAGATTCTTATAACATTATTTAAATAAGACGGATGGACTGAGTGTAACATGTGCCTCGGTGTTAATTTTAAAATAAAACTGACAATAAATAACCGGTAATATTTGTTTCTATTAATTTTATTATTTAACACGCCCCATACATTTTCCAGTACTTTATCAAATTAGTAAACGATATTATTGAATAATCTCAGAAAATCATATTGATCTTCTTATCTACTGCTTATCAACAATATCTGTACTACCTATGACTAACGTAAAATATGTAATCAAAGAATTACCGAAAACAGCGTAACTTCTTTTGATTGGTCTCTAATATTCTGTCCCAAATATCTCCAAATTATGCGTCGGTAAAATCTTCCACTAGATAAGTAAGTGATGTAGCAAATTTTTGGGGGGGCAGTGCAAAAATATTTGCAATAAGATTGTATTTTTCATCATTACGAAAAAGTTTCTTTTACAAAACTACACGTTTGAAACTCATATAGGTAATTCTGACACAAAATGAACCTTTCTTTTGAAATCCATGGTACCTAATAAAATTTATTAGTAAACCTTGTACCTACATAACAAAATATTGTTTCAATAATAATTTTCTATCTTATACTGATATCTTAAGATAGTAGACAAGTAGGCAGACACTTAGATGCTATATATTAATAAAATGTGAAAGTTAAGAGTAGCGTTCTAAAATCAATGACATTTTGCAAAATAATCTACTGAAATCAGAAAATATAAAAGTTGAAAACTTTGAAAATAACAATAAAGATTATATTTAAGATGAAATTATACGTGTAACAGAAAGTTATATAAAACACCCTATGCGCACTATACGTACATTTGCGATTGTGGCTTAGTGTCTGACTTTTTTCTTTGCTTCTTAACCGGCGCTGCCACGCTCATCTTGCTTTGCATCCCCCTCCATGTGTCTCCCAGTTGGAGGTCACAGGATTCAATTCTACAGAAGCAGCAAACAAATAAACTATTATTAAATAAATCAAAGACTAATCTAAAGTGGAAAAATATAAGCTGATCAAATCTAAGAATTCTATTAAACTGATTTGAAACTAAGTCATTCTTAACTGGATAATCATTTCCATGCATAATAAATAAGTTCATACAAAGCAGATGTGATGATGTGAATCTGTCTATTTACTAAATTATGTTAACTTAATCCTTTTTAAATAATATTAATTAGTTTATATTACATAAAACAAACTAGCTGATGGGTACCCGGGGTATCGTAGGTACCCCAAATAGTTTGTACAATAAAAACTTGTAAGTATGACTCATGTTTGCTATTTAACCAACAATTGAGTACATAGCTCATATTGTAGGTATTTAAAGATTCGATGCTCAAGTAATACTTTATCGGTGTGAACGTAGTAACACTATCAAAAATAACTATATGTACCTACTAACACAATGATAAAGGAATGGCTATCAAGGAATACCTAGTTATATTCACATTGACGCGACTCATACATATCAAATGCCAAGTACAGAGCAAGCTGAGTGAAGCTTAATGCGAAAGAGGGACAGAGATACCAGTCGAACGCCTACCGAGGAGCCCCACTACGCAACCTCACTGCGACGGCCGCGCAACCTTGAAATAATAATGTTCGGAATAACAACAACGCGCCATAAGCGTGACCAGAAATAGTATAATAAATAATTCTCGAAATTATTTAAACCTCCAGTTCCTAGTGCCTACATCCTGTCTGCTTTGGGATGTTCTTTTGTGCTAATAAAAGTGATTTCATTATAGATGAAACAAGAATAAAAGGAAAATGCCGAAAGCCGGAAATGGCACGGACAAGCGGACAAGACATTTTGTCGACATAGTTCCCTAGGGTTTTCGGCGACTACTACCTATATCTCTGATGTAATATAACTTTTTTCAATTGACACTTGACCAAATAGGTGAAAGTTGGTAGGTATTGTTCGCGAGCGTTCCGCAGCCGAAGGTTTCGCTTTTTCAATCGTTACTCAACAGGTATTCGTCATCAAAGTTTTAACAACTGCGCGTCATCGAATTCTCATAATGAACATTGCTAACATCTACTATAAAAAAAATAGAGCATAATTCAGTTTCTGAGACTATATCAATAATAAGTATTATTCATTAAACAGATATTATATGATGATTACTAATCAAACATTTAAATAAGCGAATTTATAAATATTAACGTTAAAGATGGAAGATGTTTTGTATTGCAAAATTTATATCTATAAACCAATCTGAGAACACGTTATTATTATAGTACGTATTCAAGGTCAAGGTTCCTCGTAATAATTGAACCAAAGTAAAGGATTTTTTAAGGGAAAATAACTTTATCCTCAAAAAAAATTATGTAATAAGATATCAGAAAAGTGCTGAACTGTAAGTGAAAACTTTTCACAAAAAAGATTTAAACGAAGTACGGTGAGCCTTAGCGTCCATATTTGCTGTAACTTGATATCTACTTTCAATTACTTTTAAGTGAAACTTATTTTCGGACGGGGTGTAAATGGAGAAATCCTATGAAAAAGATGAAACGGAAATGTGTCACGAGCGTCACAAGACTATTTTTATATATATAAATTACGCGTCACTTTGTTTGTCCGGGATGATCTCCTAAACTACTCAACCGATTTTAATCAAATTTGCACACCGTGTGTAGTTTGATCCAACTTGAAAGTTAGGATAGTGTACATCTCAATTTATAGTCGCAATATGATTTTATTACAAATTATTACTTTTGGGCGGTACGAAGTTCGCCGAGTCAGCTAGTATACAGGACGTCTCACGGGTTTGTCACACGGAGGGAAAGTATATTAAATATTGAGTATAGAATATTTTACTGAAAGATAACATAATTTTATTTTTAATAACTAATAGAACTGCATTCAGTTTAAAAAAAATCGCCTGCTAAAACCGGGAATCAAACTTGTGAAATGTGAAACAAAAAACATATGTATTGTATTTTGATAAACGTCGAAAATGTTCATGGAGATTGTTTTTTCCTGAATAACAGCATCTTAAATGAAAGAAAAATCACGAAAGGAGATTGCTCAGCTTCCATACATGTTTGGCCTAAAGACCAATAATCATGAAAAATTGTTTCCTAGATTCGAAATTATATTTAAATTACTGTAGAAATTAATATTATTGACGGACACCCCTGAGAACTTCTATAAACCATATACACTGAACATAATAAAATAATAAAAAACAAATAAGTTATATAGAAAACTAGGGAAATCAAGTCAAGTACCGAAATTATTTATTACATTCAGGTATATAGAGCATGTAGGTTAACAGATAGTTGCTTGTTTTTAAAGTTAATGCATGCATTAACTTTTAAAATCACACATGTAATATATGTGTGTGTGAGTGTGTGTGTGGGATGCGTGCGCAGCTCTTCCTGACGATTTCCTTATGCCTTATGCACCTTCTATAAGAAAAGAAGCTTCACTTCAGATGTCTGGTCCGTGCACACGAATCTTTTTATACAACGATAAAGTTATACGAGTGTTAATGTTTTAAATTTAAGATGTGAAATTGAGGAAGATAAAAAAAACTAAAAAATAATAGAACTCTTTTTTTATGTAAACTAAAAACTTAATTATACAATACACTGTTGAAAAAAAAATGTTTTGAGTCGAATTGAACACGGTACGTACGTGTAATGTTATCATTTTCATCGCGATAAAAGGGTATTCCAAAACCATGTGATTAAATTTCTGAAAGTTATATTTGGTTACGGTATAGATCAGTTATATATATAAGATCATATAACAGGGTGGCAGATCAACCACGACTGGACTAGAGAACGTAAAACAGATATAAAAGTATTGCTAATCTGTCACCATGACAATGCAATTTGGCACCTTTGCTTAAATTGGGTGTTTGCCGTCATCCTTAATAAATTAAAAAAATCTCTTCTGATGTTCAGTTTGCAAGCTTACTTCTTGGGGTACTTCATGAAGAGTGAAGAGACAGGCCTCTTTATAATTAGAATATCACGTTATCGGTTTATAGCTTAAAAACCTTCTTAGTATTTATCAAGTATAAAGGTAGTTATTTATTTGTGGATGATTACGGTGCACAGTGTGTTATTTTGCCTTAGTTACGGACATGCTCGTTTTATGTGTTTTTTGAAAAGCTATTTAATGATTTTTACACTAAATATTTTAAGGCATATAAACTAAATATAGGAAGACTATAGGAACCATTTTTTTTCTTGAAAACTTTAAAAATCTTGCGAATATTTTTTATTCCGTCGATTCTTTTCATGGTCTCGCTTTTTATAATGCTTAAATGTTGATCGCTATAATAAGTTGCGCCACAAAAAGAAACAGATGCAACAAACCCAGGATTTCGGAAATATTGAATTTTGAAATTGTGGGTTAGGGTTGTCAATCAAACCTTTGTGATTCATAATTTTTCCTCAAGTAATAGCAATTACCGGTTTAAATTGTGACGCGCATAGTTTGCAGAGTTTATGTACCTATGGAAAAATAGTGTAGAAAGTTAAAGTCAAAATTAAAAAATATTTATGGTTGAATTCAATCACTACTTTCTTTTGTTTATGATCTATTTACGATGAAGTATATTACGTGGGATTGGGAAGGGGTCCGCCCTCATTAGGCAAACGCTAAAACCCAATTCCTATACATAATATCTAGAGAAGCGATGAGGTGCCATGGAGCCGTCAAAGACCCATGGCACTGTTTTGCCCCAGCAGGCGCTGACCCGTCATGCTGAGGGATGTCCGTCTGGGCCCCGACCAGAGGACTTAATTCAAGGGGGCATGAGGGCGCCAACCTTCATGCTGGTCAGCGAGTGGCAATTATTACCGCGGCAACCTAATCCTGAATACGAATACACTTAAGAAACTGGAGATTTATAATGTTTTAGTTGAAAAGGCCCGACAATATGGGTCAAAACAAAGACCGGGTGACCTTGAAATCAACAAACGATTATTTTAAACAATGATTATTTTAAATGCATTGTACCCAACAGGTATTCCTAACAACCTTGCTGTACAAAATAAAAGTCTTAAAAATAGTATTTGCAATATTTATTTGTAAGTGCGAAAAAAATTATAATGACAGCAAAAACAATTTTAATAATAATCAGAAATGGTTTGCTACAATGTTCGACGTTGAAATACCAACAAAAATAGAAAAAAGTCTTATAGAATTAAAAAAATATATTAATAGTTTCCCTTCTTCATCTAATGACACTCCATCTGCTTCGAATGAAAAGAGTTCCCGTCAAATGCGTCGTATACAAAGGAGGTTCAAAGAGTCGCTTCGAGATCAGCCGCAGTCAAAAATTATTAAAATAATGTCGAAAATAGTAACTGATGAGACTTTAGAATTTATCACCGTGCGTCATAAACATAAAAAATATTTGCCCTTACCGAAATCAGTGCTTCAACTATTAAACGTAACAACAGACAATGTTCACTACAGCCAATTAGAATCCGAAGGGCTTGAAGCAAATGATATGTCGCTGACGACTGACGATATGGTAATCCAATCCGATAGCGAGGATATGTCATAAGCGTTTAGCATTGGCTGGAATAATTAATTTATTAGATTGAACTAATCAACTTTAACATTTACTACCTTGTGACAACCCTATTCCAATAGAAATTGAAAAAAAAACTTAGAAACGCAATATCTCTGAGATCCCGCTAGATACATATTTAGAATTTTCTCAAGCTGAAGGTAGTATACATAAGTATTTTATGCAAACAAAAAAAAATGCGACCCGTAAACAATTATGTTTTAGTATTTTTTTCATTCATTATCAAAATAATTATTAATTCTCGTTCCATGTGACGTTAGGGCAATTTTTACACTGTATATATTTCAACCCAACAATAAATTTATAATTTACAAAAAACTGACATTTGCTTTATTAAAGAAATATAGACGAAAAACTTTTTCAAGAAGGTCAGTGAT